AGTGAGTCTAAAATATTTAGAGAATTTCTTGAGAAAAGCGCATGATATGCCATGAATCGACCATTCAAGCCCAACGGAAAAATCGCAAAGAAGAGGAACCCAGACATAGAATCAGCAACCGGTGATAGGTTTCACAGTGTTTTTCATTAAGGAGAAAACTGTTGGTTATCTGTTTCGTTCATTCGAGGAGAATATGTCGCATTTCAGCATCGGATTTTGAAAACAGTTTTCGTATACATTTCAGTTTCTTATTCCATGTAACTTCACAATTTCAACCCCCAATTCATTGCAAATTCGAGATTTAATGCCAACTATGTTTAAGGTTGAAGAATCAACGTGTTATGAATTGACCATTTAAGCCCAACGGAAAAATCGCACAGAAGAGGAACCCAGACATAAAATCAGCAACCGGTGATAAGTTTCCTATTCCTGTGTCATATTCAATTCATATAGAATATATTTTTAGAATCAATTATTTGTTATGGAAGGCGATATATCATAGAAAATGTTTCAGTAGTCACCTTTATGGCTCCATGGAGACACGACAGGTATCCCATGTAACTTCACAATTTCAACCCCCAATTTATTTTTAATTCGAAATTTAATGCCAACTATGTTTTAGGTTGAAGAATCAACGTGTTATGAATTAACCATTTGAGCCCAACGGAAAAATCGCATCGAAGAGGAACCCAGACATAAAATCAGTAACCGGTGATGAGTTTTCCATTCCTGTGTCGTATTCAATTCATACAGAATATTTTTTCAAAATTAATTATTTGTTATGGAAGGCGATATATCACAGGAAATGTTTCAGTAGTCACCTTTATGTCTCCATGGAGACACGACAGGTATCCCATGTAACCGCACAATTTCAACCCCCAAATTATTTTTAATTCGAAATTTAATGCCAACTATGTTTTAGGTTGAAGAATCAACGTGTTATGAATTGACCATTTAAGCTCAACGGAAAAATCGCATAGAAGAGGAACCCAGACATAAAATCAGCAACCGGTGATGAGTTTCCCATTCCTGTGTCGTATTCAATTCATATAGAATATTTTTTCAAAATTAATAATTTTTGTTATGGAAGGCGATATATCATTGAAAATGTTTCAGTAGTCACCTTTATGTCTCCATGGAGACACGACAGGTACCCTTACGAGGGGAGAGTATCAACCCTTGGAGTCGGTAAACCCTCATTGCAACCGAGGTAGGCGCCTGGTGGGTTAGGTATATACAGTGTTTTTCATTGAGGAGAAAACTGTTGGCTATCTGTTTCGTTCATTCAAGACGAATATGTCGCATTTCAGCACCGGAATTTGAAGAGTTTTCGTTCACATCTCAGTTTCTTATTCCATGTAACTTCTACAATTTCAACCCTCAATTCATTTATAATTCGAGAATTAATGCCAACTATGTTTTAGATTGAAGAATCAACGTGTTATGAATTGACCTTTTAAGCCCAACAGAAAAATCGCACAGAGGAGGAACCAAGACATAAAATCAGCAACCGGTGACAAGTATCACAGTGTCCTCCATGAGGGAGAAAACTGTTGGCTATCTGTTTCGTTCATTCGAGACGAATATTTCGCATTTCAGCACCGAAATTCGAAGAGAGTTATCGTATACATTTCAGTTTCTTATTCCATGTAACTTCTACAATTTCAACCCCCAATTTATTCAAAATTCGGGATTTGATGCCAACTATGTTTCAGGTTGAAGAATCAACGTGTTATGAATTGACCATTTAAGCTCAACGGAAAAATCGCATAGAAGAGGAACCCAGACATAAAATCAGCAACCGGTGATGAGTTTCCCATTCCTGTGTCGTATTCAATTCATATAGAATATTTTTTCAAAATTGATTATTTTTGTTATGGAAGGCGATATATCATTGAAAATGTTTCAGTAGTCACCTTTATGTCTCCATGGAGACACGACAGGTACCCTTACGAGGGGAGAGTATCAACCCTTGGAGTCGGTAAACCCTCATTGCAACCGAGGTAGGCGCCTGGTGGGTTAGGTATATACAGTGTTTTTCATTAAGGAGAAAACTGTTGGCTATCTGTTTCGTTCATTCAAGACGAATATGTCGCATTTCAGCACCGGAATTTGAAGAGTTTTCGTTCACATTTCAGTTTCTTATTCCATGTAACTTCACAATTTCAACCCCCAATCTATTCCAAATTCGAGATCTAATGCCAACTATGTTTTAGGTTGAAGAATCAACGTGTTATGAATCGACCATTCAAGCCCAACGGAAAAATCGCACAGAAGAGAAACCCAGACATAAAATCAGCAACCGGTGATGAGTTTCCCATTCCTGTGTCATATTCAATTCATATAGAATATATTTTCAAAATCAATTATTTGTTATGGAAGGCGATATATCATAGAAAATGTTTCAGTAGTCACCTTTATGGCTCCATGGAGACACGACAGGTATCCCATGTAACTGCACAATTTCAACCCCCAAATTATTTTTGATCCGAAATTTAATGTCAACTATGTTTCAGGTTGAAGAATCAACGTGTTATGAATTGACCATTCAAGCCCAACGGAAAAATCGCATAGAAGAGGAACCCAGACATGAAATCAGCAACCGGTGATGAGTTTCCCATCCCTGTGTCTTATTCAACTCGTATAGAATATTTTTTCAAAATTAATTATTTGTTATGGAAGGCGATATATCATTGAAAATGTTTCAGTAGTCACCTTTATGTCTCCATGGAGACACGACAGGTACCCTTACGAGGGGAGAGTATCAACCCTTGGAGTCGGTAAACCCTCATTGCAACCGAGGTAGGCGCCTGGTGGGTTAGGTATATACAGTGTTTTTCATTGAGGAGAAAACTGTTGGCTATCTGTTTCGTTCATTCAAGACGAATATGTCGCATTTCAGCACCGGAATTTGAAGAGTTTTCGTTCACATTTCAGTTTCTTATTCCATGTAACTTCACAATTTCAACCTCCAATTTATTCCAAATTCGAGATCTAATGTCAACTATGTTTTAGGTTGAAGAATCAACGTGTTATGAATTGACCATTTAAGCCCAACGGAAAAATCGCATAGAAATGGAACCCAGACATAAAATCAGCAACCGGTGATGAGTTTCCCATTCCTGTGTCGTATTCAATTCATATAGAATAATAATAATAATAATAAAGTGCTTTATTGATCATATGTACAATACAATCAACTGGCCATCGACCTGAGTCCTGAGTCCTTCAGCCAATTCATATAGAATATTTTTTCAAAATTAATTATTTGTTATGGAAGGCGATATATCATTGAAAATGTTTCAGTAGTCACCTTTATGTCTCCATGGAGACACGACAGGTACCCTTACGAGGGGAGAGTATCAACCCTTGGCGTCGGTAAACCCTCATTGCAACCGAGGTAGGCGCCTGGTGGGTTAGGTATATACAGTGTTTTTCATTAAGGAGAAAACTGTTGGCTATCTGGTTCGTTCATTCAAGAAGAATATGTCGCATTTCAGCACCGGAATTCGAAGAGTTTTCGTTCACATTTCAGTTTCTTATTCCATGTAACTTCTACAATTTCAACCCTCAATTCATTTATAATTCGAGAATTAATATACCAACTATGTTTTAGATTGAAGAATCAACGTGTTATGAATTGACCTTATAAGCCCAACGGAAAAATCGCACAGAGGAGGAACCAAGACATAAAATCAGCAACCGGTGACAAGTATCACAGTGTTCTCCATTAAGGAGTAAACTGTTGGCTATCTTTTTCGTTCATTCAAGACGAATATGTCGCATTTCAGCACCGAAATTTGAAGAGAGTTATCGTATACATTTCAGTTTCTTATTATATGTAACTTCTACAATTTTAACCCCCAATTTATTTATAATTCGACATTGAATAACAACTATGTTGTAGATTGAAGAATCAACGTGTTATGAATTGTCCATTCAAGCCCAACGGAAATATCGCACAGAAAAGGAACCCAGACATAAAATCAGCAACCGGTGATAAGTTCCACAGTGTTTTTCGTTAAGGAGAAAACTATTGGCTGGAATTTGAAAACAGTTTTTGTATACATTTCGGTTTCTCATTCCATGAAACTTCTACAATTTCAACCCCCAATTTATTTATAATTCGAGAAAAATGCCAACTATGTTTTAGAGAGAAGAATCAACGTGTTATGAATTAACCATTTGAGCCCAACGGAAAAATCGCACAGAAAAGGATCCCAGACATGCAATCAGCAACAGGTGATAAGTTTCACAGTGTTCGTCATTAAGGAGAAAACTGTTGGCTGTCTGTTTCGTTTATCTGAGAAGAATATAATAATAATAATAATAATAATAAAAATAATGATAATATGTCGCATTCAGCACTGGAATTCGAACACAGTTTTCCCCTCTCCTCTTTGACCTAGCAGTACCTGGTATGTTTAAATAAATAATCAGTTGGCAGGAAATCCACTCCACAAAAGCTTGCTGGTTTCAGATGGAGTCCAACTCTCTCTACGAACTGCCTTAATCTATAATTCAAGAATGTCTGAATGGAAAACTGCAACAAATAATATTACTTGATATGTTCATGGAAAAGTCATGGAAGTATTTAACTTTGACAAATAAATATAGGTATAGTTTTTGAACATATTCTGATACTGGGAACATTGTACACCTAACTGATGACCATTTCAAGAAATATATTTTCCAAAAATCTGAACAATATTCAACTTACCCATGGATGAACTTATGTCTTCACTTTCTTGCCTGTTTAGATGTGAGAAAAAAATCTAAAGTACTTTAATTATTTGAATAAAGCAAACGTAAACACCAATCCACCATTAAACAACACGAGTAGGAAAGAGACAGGTTACGTTACCGTAACGCCGTAAATAATGATGTAAATCATGCTATCTTTGTTGCAGCTGCCCCTGACAGACTTTGTGCTACTCGAGAGAACGGCCGTCTCCCTTCCAGTTGTATTGAGTTCATTGCATGTTCCATGTTCATTGCATGGTAGTCATGGTCACAGAACAGTGATGAGAGAGTCCTAACCTCACTGTTTGTTTTGTTTTTATTTGTTTTTCTGGAACCAGAAAAATTTCAATTTATGTTAAATAATTTGGGAATAATATGATAGTACAGCGTTTGAAATTATGTTGTAGATGTGAAACAGTGAAGTTAACCAAAAGATTTTTAACCAATGTGTCTCCAAATGTCGAAATTCTGTCAGACCTTTTAGGTGAGTAGAAATTCAAAAAATACACCAAACCAAAAGAAGAATTCATGAAATTTTTATATTGTGTGTGGAATGTGTGGTTTCTCTCTAGAACAATAGCACAGCTTACCTAACAAACAAGGTAAGCTGTGGCAAATGCGCTTAGTTTCCTTCAATTTTCAAGTAACCTAGATCCAAATTTTGACCATGATTATGGAGGTAAAAGTAGACAAAAAACAAAGTGAATAGAATTGAGAAAATTTTCAAATATTAATAGAGAGGAAACCTGGAACTCATTAGGACCTTGATCCTACTATGCTTACTGTCAATACTATAAGAAGCTAAAGGCCCCCTTGTTACCTCTACTTTTAGGAGTTTCTGGCTGGTTCAAGAATTGACTTTACAGACTGATTCAATTTCCTTCTGAAATTTTGTAGTGGTTTATACATCTTCCAGAAATACTGTGGGCATACTTGATTACTTGTATATCTTCATATTATATAATAGGTATAAATATACCCAAAAGGAAACAAACCATGTTTCCTTGTGACATTGGAGTTTATCAGACTAATATATTCCTTTTTATGATTATAATAATGAGTCTAGACTGAGTCTGACACTTTTTGTTGCTGTCTTTTATGAGAAATTACTATATATATATACAGGGTCGCTGATTTGTATGGAAACATGTGAATATCTCGGTAACCAGTCGTTGGATTTTTTTGAATTTATGTGCAGTGTGATTTCAAAATGTGGCGGATCTGAAAGTGTTATAGCCAATGTTGCCACTTTTTCAGTTATTCCGGAATTTTATTAACTTCCTCATTTTGAATAAAACACCCTGTACTTTATTGGATTTTCAGATACTCCTTGAAGAGCTGATTCCATCGATCTATCACACTTGGGGTCTAGCGGGAATGATTACATAGGTATAGGGTGTTTAAAATCTAGATTTTTCAACTTCAGGATTTTTTTGTATCGAAACTATCCATTATCGATCAAAACCCGAGTCAAAACCGCTCTAATATTCTTTTGATTTACTATCTACTGACATATAAATGGAACAGATACAGAGGGTGATCAGAATTCTGAATCTTGAACCACCCTGTATTTGTTATAATTAAATGTCAGTAAATTGTAAATCAAAAGAAAATATAGGAACATTGGAGCGGTTTCGATCGATAATGGATAGTTTCGACACAAAAAATCATAAAGTTGAGAAATCTAGATTTTAAACACCCTATACCTATGTAATCATTCCCGCTAGACCCCAAGTGTGATAGATCGATGGAATCAGCTCTTCAAGGAGAATCTGAAAATTCAATAAAGTTTTGGGTGTTTCATTCAAAATAAGGAAGTTAATAAAAAATCCGGAATAACTGAAAAAGTGGCAACATTGGCTATAACATTTCCAAATCCGCCACGTTTTGAAATCACACTGTACATAAATTCAAAAAAATCCAACAACATGTTACTAAGATATTCACCTGTTTCCATACATATCAGCGACCCTGTATATATATATATACTAACTGCAAAAACTCATACACAACTGGTGTTGATAAAGAGGTTAACATAAAATTCAATGATTTGAGTTGCTCTTTCAGAATTCATAAGATTTCTTGCCAAAAATAATAAAAAGCTTTTATTTAAACGCTCTAAAAGGAAGAAAATAAAATTGTTCTTAATAATTTTAACTATCAACTTATAACCTCATTATATGATCATAAAAGTTTGTCGCGCGATTCACTTGTGTGAATGAACTAGTACTTATTCAATTATGTAAAATCTGTTGAGATAAAATTTTTAAAATCACAATTTAATTAAATATTGATATAAGTTGATAGTTAAAATTATTAAGAAAAATTTAATTTCCTTCCTTTTAGAGCGTTTAAATAAAAGCTTTTTATTAAAAAGTTTTTTTTTACTTTTAATTTATTTTTTAATTTTTAGTTATTGCTAGCTGGATTTTTCGATTTACTCTCAATGAGCCTTTTCATTTGATACCCATATTGTAGAAGTATATTGAAAATGACCATTCCGCCATCTTGAATGGTCCGCCATAATGGATTTAGAATGACGTCACATCATTTTTTAAAAGCTTTTATTTAACTTGCATTGTATGTTTGTATGGATGGATGTATGTATGTATGTATGTATGTATGTTCGGGTGGAATCTTTGAACTCAATTTTGAAGTAGAAATCTTCAACCGATTGAGCTGAAATTTTGTATACACGTTCAGTTTGGATGACAATGCACGATAAGGTGTATCACGTTATTCTTTTTGATATACTTTTACAATATGGGTATCAAATGAAAAGGATCGTTGAGAGTAACTCGAAAAATGATGTGACGTCATTCTAAATCGAATATGGCGGACCATCCAAGATGGCGGAATGGTCATTTTTAATCTACTTCTACAATATGGGTATCAAATGAAAGGGCTCGTTGAGAGTAATTCGAAAAATAATGTGACGTTATTTTGAATCCAATATGGTGGACCATCCAAGATGGCGGAATAGCTATTTTTGATATACTTTTACAATATGGGTATCAAATGAAAAGGCTCGTTGAGAGTAACTCGAAAAATGATGTGACGTCATTCTAAATCAAATATGGCGGACCATCCAAGATGGCAGAATGGTCATTTTTAATCTACTTCTACAATATGGGTATGAAATGAAAGGGCTTGTTGAGAGTATTTCGAAAAATAATGTGACGTTATTCTAAATTCAATATGGTGGACCATCCAAGATGGCGGAATAGCTATTTTCAACTCGATTTTCAATATACTTCCACAATACGGGTCCGCCATATTTGATTTAGAATGACGTCACTTCATTTTTCGAGTTACTCTCAACGAGCCTTCTCATTTGATACCCATATTGTGAAAGTATATCAAAAATAGCTATTCCGCCATCTTGGATAGTCCGCCATATTGGATTTAGAATAACGTGACACACCTTATCGTGCATTGTCATCCAAACTGAACGTGTATACAAAATTTCAGCTCAATCGGTTGAAGATTTCTACTTAAAAATTGAGTTCAAACATACAAACATACCATGCAAGTTAAATAAAAGCCGAGATAAAAGCTTTTAAAAAAAGGAAGCTACTGTCTGAATTAGAATTTTTTTAGATACAAACTACTGAGATAACTTGAACCCTATTTTTTGGGTTGAAATAAGAAAAAAGTTCATATAAAAATATGTCCGAAAACGATTCAGATACAGCTTGTTAGAGTTTTTTAGGTTTCTTGAAAAAAACGATATCATCATTAATTTCTAAAAAATGCCTGAACCAATAGCGATGAAATTCCGAGAAAATTCGCTATGTCTGATGAAATCTCAATGAGGAATTTATTGGCCCTATTACAATTGATGAAGCATTACCAGGGGCGTGCCCACGGGGCAAGTCCAATTGTTGTATGCATGAAAAATAGCACTCAGTTGATTTATGTAAATTTTTTTGTATTGAAGCAATTCAAAATACATTTTTCTTGGCTCTCAACTTTTTTTTCTATGGGGCTTCGTTTTAGAGGAAAAAAATTGAAACCAAACCCAAATAAAAGGTCCAAGAATATGCAGGAATGGTTCAATATTTTGAGTTACAGTATAAATTAAAAGTGAGTATGGTTGGTACGTTTATTACTATCAGTTCAGGCATTTTTTAGAAATTAATAAAGAATCGATTTTTTCAAGAAACTTCAACACCCTGTATCTCGGAAACGTAAAAACGAATCATTTTCGGACATGGTTTATACCAGTGTTTATATGAACCTTTATTTTTATTTCCACCCAAAAAATATGACCTGGAAGTTTCGTGCAATATTTATGAAACACCCTGTATAAACTCTAGTTCCTATGCCTTGATATTCCTTAATTTCTCTAAGATCAATCATACATTTCATCGTTCTGGAAGAAAACTCATTAATTCCATGTATGAAGAGATGCAGGCAGTTGACTGATTTTTCTTTCATGCTGGATACATTTCATCATAGGCGTCAGTACTGAAACAGCAAAGCATTATGTCTCTGAATACAAATTGCACTATAGAGATGGAGACAACATTATCAATAATATCAGATTTTGTCAGAATCTTGGATTTTCAAATGAATCTATACTGAAAACTAAACATTTATTGAGCAGTCGTCCAGTCGAATTGGAGGGACACTTCATGGCAATGCAAGAAGGTGGGTTCCATGATATAGGACCAAAAACTTTGGCAAAGTATGAAAATATCTATCATTGTAGCAATAGAAAAATATCCTATTTAATTTTTAAGGGCTCGAACCCTCATGAAAAGAAGAATTTCCTTTCTGAAATCAGAGAAATTTATTCATAAAACTACAAATGTGCCAAAATATCTCATATCCTATATTGAAGATAAAAATATTGCTGCAAAAATACCAGAAGACTATAGTGATGAAGAGATATGGAATGTTATTCAATCGAAAATAATCCAAACATATTTGAGTAAGTATACAAGATATAATATACACTTCTCCAAGAAATTTACCCACCACCAAAAAGTAGGCAAAATTTAGGAAACATTTTCGTCAGAAGTCCGATTTGGACGTTTTTTGTTTTGAATGACAGGTTAATTCCTTCTGAACATTAGTGTGCAAGAACTTCTTTTTATGAATACCGGGTGTAACAATTATAGCGTGTTCTTTTTCATGAAATTCGTAATACCCTGTGGAGTGTAACAGTTACATTATCAAGTTGAAATTGAAAGTACACTTTAGCCTTATCTGTTTTTAACATTCCTTTTTTGATTTCACTCCATTATCTTTCCTATTTCTCCAGAAACACAATTTTTTAGCATAACATGATTTTATTGAATTCAATTGGCATTATAAGAACAAAAGTAGCAGGCTTTGGTCTGGGAAGGCATTTCTTTGACTTATCGCTTGTAACTTGTGATCATGAAAGGAAACCTCACAGCTGAGAGGTACATATCAGTGATTTCAGAACCACATATAGTGTAAGGATTACAAGAGGAATGTACCTTGAATACTTTGAAAAACGCACGGCAGAGACTGATGATTCAAATTTAGGAAGACCTGGACCAACATGACATTAGGTCTCTTATTTTGGGTATAGGCCAACGCACGGCAGAGACTGATGATTCAAATTCAGGAAGATCTGGACCAACATGACATTAGGTCTCTTATTTTGGGTATAGGCCAACGCACGGCAGAGACTGATGATTCAAATTTAGGAAGACCTAGACCAACATGACATTAGGTCTCTTATTTTGGGTATAGGCCAACGCACGGCAGAGACTGATGATTCAAATTTAGGAAGACCTGGACCAACATGACATTAGGTCTCTTATTTTGGGTATAGGCCAACGCACGGCAGAGACTGATGATTCAAATTTAGGAAGACCTGGACCAAAATGACATTAGGTCTCTCATTTTGGGTATAGGCTAACGCACGGCAGAGACTGATGATTCAAATTTAGGAAGACCTGGACCAACATGACATTATGTCTCTTATTTTGGGTATATTTCACATCCATATGTTATAGTATTTTATATCTATATATTAGTGTTTTGATGTCTTTTTTTATAACAGTTTATTTACAAATTTTTTTATTAGATTCATACATTATTGTATTGTGTTGATGTATTGACTTGCTACAAATGTATGAATTTGCATAACGTAGTCAAATAAACGCTATCTATCTATCTATAGGCCAACGCACGGCAAAGACTGATGATTCAAATTTAGGAAGACCTGGACCAACATGACATTAGATCTCTTATTTTGGGTATAGGCTGTATTTGCTAAGAAGTTTCTCGTGCCGTGGCTGAAATAGTCGCTACTGACCTTTTCGTTCAACTTGTGACTCCGCATTATGTTTCGTTTTATTGTTATTTAATTTGGATATTAATTTTTCATAAAATCATGTTACACTATAAAATGATGTTCCTCAAGTGATAGGAAAGATAATGGAGTGAATCCAAAAAAGAAATGTTGAAAAAAGATAAGGCTAAAGTGTACTTTTAATTTCAACTTGATAACGTAACTTTTACACTCCACAGGGTATTACAGATTCCATGAAAAAAAAACCGCTATAATTGATACATCCGGTGTTCATAAAAAAGAGGTTCTTATGCGAAAACAGTTTGCACATCAATATTCAGAAGGAAATAACCTGTCAATCAAAATAAAAAAAGTCCGAATCGGACAAGTACTTTTGACGATAATGTTTCCTACTAAACTTTTGGCTAAATTTTGGTAGTGCGTCAATTTATTGGTGAAGTGTATGTATTTAGAACTACTATGTGATTTTACAGGACTGAGATTGGGTGCTACAGAAGATGATATAATAAAATTATTCAGGATACATAAAATAATCAAGAATAAGAGTTTACGGTTTATACAAGAGAATATTCGATTAGCTGAAGATTTAGGATTTGAACACAGAAGAATATTGAAATATGGTTATATTTTACATTCCTTCCCAGCATATACACAAACTACTCTCACTGATCTTTCAAATTTAGCTGGAGCCAACATGAGACAGGCCATGCTGTCTTACCCAAAGCTTTTCATGACTGATCCAAAGAATATCATCAAAATTTATGGAATATTGAAGGTATAAGTTCCAATTTAGTTTCATCACTACCTAGGTCTGAACTTGTGAGGAAAACCGCTTTATTATTTTTGGCTCAATATAGTATAGAGGTATTCATGTTGAAGAGATAACTACAAGAGAATTACTGAACGCCCTACTAATAATATTTCTTTTGATAGTGTTAATTTTCTCCTCTCAGCAATGACCCGGTGCTTCTCTAGATTTGAAAGACTTGCATGACTGATGCTAGCAGCAGGAAACACAGCTGTCAGTAGATATTTCTCGGAAGGGTTCCATTTAAAACTCCAACGTCCATGAACCCACCGCACTTCTGTAATTTGTGATATTTCAAATAACAATAATTGGAATAGATGATCGTCGATTTCATTTTGATAAGATATTCTACTGCTCCTTTTTTTCATTTGTGTTGTTTACGCCATGGCGGTATAAATCATGGCGGGATTAATAACGCGACCAAGACTCAGTTCCACTTTGCGCCTTCAGTCTCAATAGACCTGGACTACCAGGCCGGCCCACTTTTGATATTGGTCGTTCTTAGCTTATCGCGGCTTTTAAATAGAGATGACGTATTGAAAAGGAATATTGTTAGATAAAATTTTGAACATCAAAAATGGTCGAGTTTGTCTATGCGCTGGAATTCGCTAGATAGCTGTTCACGATGCGAGGGTACTGTCGGTTCGAATCCGGCTGTCGGCAGCACCTCGATGTCCTAGAAGTGGTTCGAATTCCACTTTAAGCTGTAGGTCGCGCTCTTCCTTACCCCGCACAAGTTTCGACTTTTGGGGAGGTATACAAATTTTATAAATATAAAGAAATGCATTGAGAATTCGCATTCTCTATGTGATGAAAATATCAATAATTTCTCGGTTTATTCAACAGAAAACAAAAAAAAAACAACAAAAAAGATGACGTAATTGATGACGTTTTAGAGTCCAAGTGGGCTTGACCGCAATGTATATGATTCTAAGTGGAACAGCATATATGCATTAGTCTTTGTGAGCCCTCAGGTGTAGATATTCTTCTTCTTCATATATATAGGTGATATAGGTGATACAGCATCGATTCTTGATCGACCACGATCCAAAAAATATTGTATGGCCGTACCGTGCAGGATGCAGTTCCTAACAATATATTGATTTTGTAGGAATTTGATATACCAGATGAAATAATTAGAAAACAAATGAATATATTCCACATGTCACCAGAAACGGTGAAATTGCGCCTGCAGGAAATTGAGAAGTCACCAGATTTGAAAGTGCTCTTTAGTCACCCAAGAATATTAAAGTTGATAGTACATCACAATAGAACAAAGTCAAGGCTGTCGTTTTTACAGCAGCTGCAGCTGAGGTGTGCTACTTTGTCTATACTGAGTGAGTAATTTTATTGATTACCATAGTTTTCCAACATTTATAATAATCTGAGTTTTTATTATCTTTTGTCTGCAACATAGACTGGACACGTGGACAGTGGTTGTGATAACAAGTTGAAAGGAAAAATCAACATTTTACCTATTTAAATTCGGAAGTATGAATTGTATTTCACATCAGTAGATGGCTACAATATAATGAATTATTGTAATGAAACAAAAAAGCAAATCAAAAGTCAAACTTCATAAATACTAAGATGAGGATTTCTGTAATTCAAATGAAGAATTATTAATGAAAAAGTGATGTGTTTGAAATACGAACTACTACTTTGAAATTCAAAAGTATTTCAAATTATATTCACAACTGTTTTCAAACGTACCGAAAAAATTATATTATGTGCATTTTATTTCAGAGACAGATCAGAATGATGAATTCGAGGAATATATAAAAGAGGGGAAAGATGTTAATAAGTTGAACGATTTAATCTGTTTCCTGAAAGATCTGTTTAGTCTAGATGAAAAATCACTAAAGAAAATGATCAAACTTCATCCATTTCATCTCCAAGTACCCTTAAAAGATATGAAGGATACTTTTGATTATTTAAGAGAGCAGAAGTTCAAAAAAACGAGTATATATAAAGTTTTATATATTCTTCTATATCCAAAGTAAGAATATTAAATTACAAGTGGCATTTTGAGATTGAATCCGCCTTTTTTCATTATAGGGAGAAAGTCAGAAATATACTAACAATGATAAGGTACAACAAAGATATTAAATTCAACTCATTGAGTGAGATCAACAAGTTGAACTTGATACTGTATTTCATTGAAAAAGAACATCATTTTACTGGAAATGGAATTTGGAGAAAATGTGATGAACCCAAACAGACTGTTGATTAAAGTTTTTGTCTACCTCAAATCGATCATGGTTTTATTTTTCAAGGGTACTATAGGTAAGATTGTTGGGAATGTTGAAATCCACAAAAAAATCAACACTTGAAATATTTTACAGTGTCAGGAACTTTCTACATAAAATATAAATAAAAAAATATTTATATACCTGGTGATTCAAATTCGAGGGGCGCGATATTGGATTTTCATTGATAATAATAGCATTTTTTTCTTCTTATTTCAACGATGTATAAGAAGTTATACTTCGCAACCTCACAACCTCGGATATTTGACGAATATATTGTTTTTGTAGTTGACTCAGTCAAATAACAGCGCAATTTAGGACGGAGAGCACGTCTTTGTATTCAGGATTGAGCAAATGCTTTGATGTTTATGTGTTATGTCGGTGTTGTTGTGTTATTTCGTTAGTTTGTATGTGAAGAGGTTTGGTTTGCAGAAATCATTTTACTTTTATTATTACTCTGACAGCAGACGTGGCAAATGATTATATTACAACAAATCGATTATTTTGACAAGTGTTATTTGACTGAGTGAAGGCCAACTACAAAAACAATATATATTTCCGAGGTTGTGATGTTTCGAAGTATAACGTGTTATACATCGTTGAAATCAGAAGAAAAAATGAGGTTGATGATGGTGGCGTAAAGACGAAACGTCGGATGGTGAATCTGAAAATGTCATCTCATAGTAGAGAAAAAGTGGTCATGTAAATATTCTATCAATTTTTATATCATTGAACGAATAACGCCAGAAAAGAATTGAAATGATCTTACAAAGTTTCTGTTTTTCCAGTACATCTCCGGGAATACTCGAAATTCATAAATTTTCTCGACGGCATATTTTTAGTCACAAGATTGCGTAACTTTGCCCTAATTCAACCATCTTCGTATCTATAGTTTCCAGATCCCAATTGGCCCTCGAATTTTAATTACCCGGTATAGTTACATCCGATAAAACTTGTTTTTTCAATTGGATCTAGTAGGCACAATTATTGGAATGGAATGGATCCTTTCTTATAGCTGATGTACAGGGTGATTCACCATAAATGTCCCCCCCTCTAGCTCACTTATTTTTGAACCGATTTGAAAATTTAAAAAATCATCTAAAATGATTTTTCAGAACTTTTTTTCCTGTTGCATCAGAAAATACAGGGTGCTCGGAACAAACGATCTACAGAGTACTACTTGATTTTCTCGAATGGAACACCCTGTATTTCATTGTATTTTTAGATTTTCATCAATACATCACACTTGGGGTCTAGCAGGAATGATTACAGAGATATAGGGTGTTCAAAATCGAGATTTTTCAACTTGAGGATTTTTTGTGCCGAAACTATTCATTATTGGTCAAAACGGCTTCAATGTCCCTATCTCAACTTTTAATTTACTATCTACTGACATTTAATTGGAACATATACAGTGTGGTTCAAGATTCAGAATTCTGATCACCCTGTATCTGTTCCAATTATCAAATGTCAGTAGATAGTAAATCAGAAGTTAAGATACGGACATGAAAGTCGTTTTGACCGATAATGAATAGTTTCGTCACAAAAAAAACCTAAAGTTGAGAAATCTCGATTTTGAACACCCTATTTCTGTTATCGTTTTTGCTAGACCCCAAATGTGGTACATCGATGAAATCAGCTTTTCAGGGGGAATCTAAGAATGCAATGAAAAAGAGGGTGTTTCATTAAAAAAAAATCAAATAGTACCCTGTAGATCGTTTGTTTCGAGCACCTTGTATTTTATGATGTAGCGGAAAAAAACTTTATCAAAAATAACTGAGCTAGAGGGGGGGGGACATTTATGGTGAATCACCCTGTACTTTATTTACCTTTATTAACTATTTCATTGCATATATCCTAAATTTAGATTTCAATAACATTTCACATCATTAACAATTTTTGGTATACCAAAGATATATTGACATACACACTTCGTATAATTTAAGTACATTGAAATATTTCATAATAATCCCAAAACAATCCAATTGGTTCAAATAAGAAAACTATTAGGATGAAATGTTTTCTTTTATTATTTTAACACCACAGATATCTGGGTATCTTTGGGCGCTCTATCATCTTCAGATGTTTCATCGTACTTAAGTTACACCAAGTTGTAAAAAACCATGACATATAAAAGTTCATAGTTTCTAAAGTCTTGATCCATATAATTTCATCATTTAAGGAGCTGATAATAATTCCATGAAAGAAATTCACCCGTGAAATCGTCACAAACTGTGCTGGTACCTGAAGCCAATTCAGCAAGGCGAAAATTAATAAATATATTTATTCTACAAACCCTTTTGATTTTGTGATATAGGCACGCACAATTCATTTGCAAAAAGCATAATTATCAGGGTTTTTGACACTCATGTACTAGTGAATTCTAATTTTACAGAAATAAATCCATCAACATTTAAAAAAAATATCTTCGAAGGCTCCAGGCGATCGTATTTCCCGCTGTACGAAATTTTGCGTTTTGAGAAATATGTTTTGACCGGACACATTGTCGAATGGACAAGACGGCAAATGAACAAAATGCCGAATTCTTAGTCAAAACGCCGAAACAGATTGGTGGAAACTTTGCCGAAAGTGATTTTTTTGGGTAAAAATGCTAAGTGTTAAATTTTGATAATCTGAGACGGCGGAATAGCGCAGTGGGTGAAGCTTTCGACTAATAACCAGAACATCGAAATTTTTATTTATAAAACGAATTATGGATTCTAATTTTCGTAGCCTCGTCCGGAGATAATTTCGCACGATTCACTGTTGCGTTCCAATTAACAGTGCTTCTCCTAAGGTGGCGTATGGAGTCAGTAACAAATCCTACACAGAACAGACATGGCTGAAGGACCTCTCGTAAGATCGATGGCCAGTTGGTGTGTACATACACACCAACAAGACATGCTATTTGATATTCTGATGTCTGAATCATGTTTAGGTGGCTATGACTGCAATGAGATGATTCTGTATTAGTTCCAAAAGAAAAACAACGAAAATTTCAAAGTTCGTTGTTTTTCTTTCGAAATTACCTTGAACCACTTTGAGATATGGATGATTTTCATGATCTGTATTAGTTCCTTTTTATAGAAATAATCCAAATTATTCTATTTTACAACCTGATATTATTTCTGGATCTTCGTATTTCTCATCATATTGAATATCTAAATGACATTTTGTATAAATATTAACCAATCATCAATATAAACTGCATACATAATGTCAATTTTGTAAATGTACGAGGGTTAATAGAATGGGATACCCCTCATTGTCACGTCGATGCCATGAAGCCCATACCTCACAAAAAACCGATTTCGGTAACAGTAACGATAAACATGATGTTACTTATGCAGGCTGTCTTATAAAAAATGTTACTAACTGTAATGCCATCCGATTTCGATAAAGAAACAAATTCAATGGGCTGAAAAACACTGAAAACTGGTGCATTTTTTCATCCTTGAAGGTGGAATGATTTTTGTTTTGACGTAGCTGTGCGAAATCTCATCCGAAAAGAGTAAATCGAATATTACTGATACATTGTCGAAGAAAATGGGTCAATTATTCAACGAAACAAATATACAGCGTGTCTCACTTTGAACGGCCCCCCTTTATATCTCAGTTATTAGTCATGCGATTCCAACCAAATTTGGTGTGATATAAATAACCATCAATATGATCAGTTTTACAGAGATGCACATTATTTTGGTCAGTGCCGTGCGTTTTTATTGAAATAAAAAGGGGTCGATTTTTCATAAAATCATATTAGGCATTTTTTTACAGGAAATCTAACCACATATTATTGTCCCTCATGCTTTCGAACCTCCATATGCAAAAAATCATCTAATTCCGGATTAACAGGATTGGCTTCATTTTTTTCATTTTCAGTCTCGCATAAATAGTGACTTCAAATCAACTACGAATTTTGGAACGTTTGATGGCTCTGGTAGGTGGAAAATCATGATTTGAAAGGAAAAGCAAGTTATACTTTTTTATGTTGAAATCACCGTTTCCGAGTAAATAATTATTACGTTCGCAAAGATGCTGTTTAGATGGGCCTGTTTTTCTGAAACCCCATAGGCACCTTATGAAAATCCACATATGTGGGTATGAAAACATGAAGAATAATATTATGAGGTCAGTTTTACTGTGGAAAAATGCCTAATATGATTTAATAAAAAACTGACCCCTATTCAATTCAATAAAAATGCACGGCACTGTCTAAAATGATGTGTATCCCTGAAGAACTGGTCATATCAATGATTATTCATATCGATACAAATTTGGTAAAGATCGCACGACTGATAGCTGAGATATAGATAGATATCTTTTCCGTTAATGATACCGAAGTTATTTCCTTTTTATTCATTCACTGTCTTGTCCATGAGGCGAAGTGTCATGTACTGTATAGGCGTGAGAATGGATCAGAAATTTCATCCATAAGTTTATTTCTCTTTCTTTTATTAATAATAAAAATCGGCCTCTGGCGCCCTGTCAATCCTATCATCCCACCCTGTATAACATACAGAAGCTGGAAATAATTTCAAATAAGTCACCAGTGAAATCACTACAAACACAAACTGTAACTGTTGCCTGATGCTGACGTAGCAAGGCAAACATTTATAAATATACTTATTCAACAAATCGTTCAATTTGCTAAATTGAACTATGGCAAAACCGATATATTGGATATAATACTTTCTCCTGCAAATCACATAACATTTGAGACCATTGTGACTCATGCACTAGTACATTTTACCACAGATTCAGAGTTATTCAAAGGAACCTATTCAGCCCCTGAATCACAAACATCTTCCAGATCGAGTCTAACCCTCGATTATTTATACTAACAAGATGAGCTATACTCTCGGAATACGCTCGAGTCCATCTAAGTGCAAGTTGCTGAACTGTCTATGTAGTAATATCCTTATTCTTCCTAAAGCAGGAAAATCACTAGCTTTTATACTCTTATAGATAATGAAAATATTTTAATCTGGCCCTTCTGCGACATTCCTTCTTGCAATCTCTACCCTTCGCTACTCAACAAAAAGTAGTTCACCTTTTCGCTCATAGATACCGCCAGCTACAGAATAGAATGTCTGCTTCATTGCTCTCAAGGATGGTTCATCCGGTTAGTGTAAATAATGAAGGGTCCAATCACAGTTGAAAAAATGTATATATCAGTTACCTCAGTCTCCGTCGGGCGTTTTGATATTTCCATATCAAAACCGTACCGCTGACAGCTGCACTCATTTGATCAACGGCGTCTTTACCGGGGGAGTCAAATTTAATAAGATTGCATTGATGTCATCTATACAATTTGGACCATCGGCAGTATCAAAATACCTTAGTGCAAATATATTTTCTTCCAATTTTAATACAAAATTGATCACAATTGAATTTTATCAAAAGAAAAGTGCCTAAATCTTTCGAACCATTTGCAATAAAATTGAATGCTGACTTTTGTCAGGTAGTTTTGTTCTGGTCCACTAATAGCATGGCGTTAGCCCACTGTGATTATTTGTGTAGTGATTATTTGTGTAGTGATTTAGGCTTTCAAGGGTGTTTTTCCCTGAGGTTCTCGTTGATAATTCCAAGTTTTTCTACCAGAGAATGCGCATACGTCCATAATGTATCACGTTATTCACTGTGACCAATCTGACAATGATCTGACGGCGGTCGGGGCTCTGTAATGAAATAGCGTTGTACAAAAAATATCTCCGATCATTGGAGCTTTGCGAAGATGTGCTAAACTTGACAAAAAAGTCATAAACATAGTACTTCATTCTCATATACTAAGTCGTATTACCTTTATGATAAACGTTTGGGGATCTTGTTCAAAAAATTATTTCAGTAAAATATCTGTACTTTATAAGAAAGCACTGAGAGTATTGTATCGCCTCTCATTTGATATCCCAACAAATGATCTGTATGCCATAAAAGAAAAATTTTCATTGGATGAATTATATAAAATAGATTCTCTTGAAGTTTCATATAATATAATAAACAATAATCTGAAATCCAATTTTATTTTGATAAGAAACTCAGAAATTCATGGTCATCACACGAGACAATCAAACTTATTTCATCTTGATTCTGCTACTTCTATAATTGGCCAAAAAAAATTTACTCACGCTGCTCTAGCTGAATTTAATAAATTATCACATAATATAAAAAATTGCAGACATATTTCAAAATTTAAAATTGAATTAAAAAAACACATGATTTCATTACGAAATGGATAAAATTTATACTTTGCCATCTATTGATTAGTCCCTGTGGCTATTTTTTTGACTTGATCGATTTAGCATTTTTAGATTTTGTTGTTGTTGTTGTTGTTGTTGTCACCTTATATTATTTTATTATTGTTGTTTGTAATCAACTTCCTCACACCAGAATTTTATTTCTGACTGGAAGCTAGTTTTTCAATAAACAAAAACAATGAACAATGAACAAAAAATCGCGAGTACCGAAAGAGCGGTAACGAAACAACGCCGAACAGTATGGCGCTCTGACAAAAAAGCGTGTAACAATTCAGCGCTGTAATGGCACATGAAACATAACGACGGGCATAACATAACGATGCTGTGATGAAAAAGCAATACAGTGGTAACAAAATACCACCCTTTCAAGGATTTTTATACTCCACTCTCACTTATGATCTTGATCTTGATTCCATAAAATAATTAGAAATTTGGCCAATCAGTGAACATTTAATACCTACTGAGGCTATATTCCGAATTCAACTGACAGTACTGAATCTGCTGATTTTCCATTCCGAAATCAAAAAATTCACTGGAAGTGACAGATGCTTGTCAGCAGACATACTATCCATTCCAAATATTTCGACTCAACATTCTGCTGGAATTGCTGAGTATCAAAAGGTAGTGTGGCTTCAGTGAACTGTCATATTTTAGAGGGGGAAGGAATGTAACATTCATTTCCGTTGTTAATGAAATGATTCTCAATATCAGAAAATACCTGGAGTATGAAGTAGTAGAGCAGGTAAGGAAAGGAGCAGCATTGGCTAAATAAACTAAATAAACCTGGAATGTTTCCTAAAATTCATCATTATTAAGGCATATTGCGATTTTCATGAATCTCAATTCTCAATCTGGTGCATCATGAGTTTATGGCAACAAAATGTCCAAGTATTCTTCATCACTCGAGCTCGAATCGCCATCGAAAACAATCGTAGAAACTATAGAGGATACAAGAATCGATTTCTCTTCCATCTTAAATATTGAATTTCCAGAATTTATAACAAGTAGGAGGCTAAACATCTAGTTCAGATAAACGAGAAACTACTACTGATGAAAACCTTGAAAACGTGTCCCGAATTACAGTAGTGAATTTTTGATTTTATATTTCGGAACACAGATTTTCAGCAGAGTCAGTGGATCAACTGACAGTACTGACCAGTTGAATTCGGAATATAGCCTGAATAACAAAACATTTTCAATGGTCTTTAAAATATTATTATAATGAGGGATTATTTGCAATAAAACATAGATTAATTTTAATGGTCGCCAATAATATTCTTTGGAAATACTTATAAGCCGCTGGTTGACATCGCTTTTTCATTATAGCGCTCTGTTATCACATGCCATTTTGTTACATGCGTTGTTTTGTTACACTCTGATTTGTGCAGAGCTCCAGAGCTATTTTGTACAGGGCTATTTCATTACAGAGCCGGCGGTCAGCATACGGCTAGCTAGGCTAGGGTCCCTTGATGTAAATTGACGTATTTGTCATCTTAACATGGTACGGACAGATCCTCGTCTCCTCTCACTCTAGTGTTTGTGAAACAGTTATATAGTTCCATCTTTATTCATTTCTGGCGATAAACACTAGATTTCTGAAATTTTTTGTTTTTTAGGTTATATTGAGGACATTGGCGAATCATACGCAATTTCCACATGTAATTTCTCATTCAACTCTACATATTATATTCAAATAATGATGATAATTTTCGAGTTTCTGATTTTTCAACTCCAGCATAATCTTTGTGAGGCCGTGAGCAAATTTTTCTGAAAGTTCATTACGTTTTACCAAATGGGACTATTCTTTGGCAGTACCTATCAATAAATGAATTTTGATTTCTGACTAAGCCTTGTGATTGAGAAATGGTGAAAAATTTTATGTAGGTATTTAAACTAATGTGCTCATATGTCATGTATATGCTGTATATATTCATGTTGGGAATCATTTTTGCAGTTTTTCACGAACATTTAATATTTCTTGAATGTAGGTATAATTTTTTAAATGGTAGGGTATGCCTCTTCTTTTAATCCCCCGTTTTAACCAAAACTGTTTCTTTGAGAAAGTATAATATGTGATTCCGTATTAGTTTTACCTCGAATATTTTGCTGATGTATTTACCAATTTTTTTCATTCGGTCACTTCACCCTCCATGTTCTAAGTTCATTTGCATTTGATGGAAAGCTGACAAATTCAAATTTGCCATCCAACTGATTGATACAGCCTACGCAGCAAATTTTGTAAGATCTATTTTAACGCCTATGAATGTGAGGTGGCAGCAATGTAATGTCAGGGACGCCAATACACGAAACCAAAGTCACTAGATGATTATAAGAGAAAGGAGATATGATCTGTCCGTACCCTGTTAGATGACGTTTTGAACTCGAGAGAGTGCGGCAACTGATATATCAATTCTTTCAACTGTGGTCTAACGTATGTTAGGTCTTCAAAATATTCATCTGTCCAGCTGTTCGTAACTTCGCTTAGCGACCGCGAGCAAACTCTCCGCCATCGCTTTCCCAGTCTGCTGAACCATCCCGTGGAAAATGCCGCCCCGGTCCTCCAGCAACTCGAACGGGTGCCCGAACTGCCTCACGCTGCCCGCGTCCATCACCAGCACCTTGAGAGTACAGAAATTTCATTGCACCATCATGACATACCGGGTGTTCCTCAAAAGTGGCTCACACGCATAATTTCTTTGTATCTATGAATGAACAAATTACTTTCGGTGTTTGAGTATAGTATCATGAATATGCATTATTTGTCGTATTCAACTGTTTTCTGTCACTTCCGGATTGCAGGAATCTCCTCAATTTTAGAGGTTATTTATTTTATCACAACAGTGATCAATATACGACCTGAAGGAATAACTTTAGAGCAAATCCCACTCTTTGTTTGAGCAGTATTAGTATTTCCTTTCATATAACCCCTTGACTATAAATTTCAAAATTAATTCCCTATGATCAATTTCAAATAAGAGGGTATCTGAAATATTGAAAACAAAAAACATCATCTCGGGCCCACTTTCAGAGGGCTTTAACTCCCCAGGGCGATAGGCTGTTTTGTTCGAACAAAAATGACGCAAAACCGAAGTGTGTGGCTGTAGAATGTTCTTTTTCGCTGGGCATTTTGCGAAATAATTGAAGAAATCATCACGCCGAATTACATTAGTGGTGTTTTTTTTATAATTTTAACTAGTTTAGCACTCGTCTTTGTTGCTATTGAAATTTTTATAGCAACAAAGATTCGTGCATCTAGTTGAAATTATGAAAAAATTCCCACCACTTATGGAATTACTGTTGAAAATAAACAAACGACCTAATAGATATAGTACATGAGATGATGAATTTTCAAGTTCCACAGAATAGATGTTTCAAATTTTTATTGAAGACTATTCCACTCTTGTCAGAATCGACCATTTTCGCGGTTTCTCCTGTAGTACACCGATATTTTTTGTTGACTAAAAATTATCGGACTTGCTCTACCAATACAGAAGCCGAATTGACCCTCACGTGAACTACCAGCCTCGTAATTCAGCGATACAAGTTTTGACATTCAAAATATTAATTATGCGTTGGATGCAGTGTACGCAACTCTCGCGAGGCGCTCGTTTATTGTCTCATTCATGAAATAGTTCATAAAACTCGTGATACTATTTTTCCTGGAAATATCCGTTGATTGACATACTGCTTGCTGCTTCAATTTCGCTCATGACATTGTTCTGAAACTTCTGATAAACAATGTCATTCGCGAAATTATTAGGCAACAAGCTGTCGTATTAATCGCCGAATATTTTCGTCAAAATAGTATTACTTGTTGTATTACATATGAAAATTCCATAGAGGTTCATCTCCCTCATCACAAATAGTTGAATAAGTACCTAGTAATGATTCATAAAAAATGAAACGACACAATAAATATATAGGTATACAAGGTGTTTCACGGTGGAAGGAACATTGAACGTATCTGGAGAACCGAACGACAGATCGTTTGGAAAATTTGTGGGCGTGGATTATCAAGCATGCTCTATCCCTCTAAAATATGTTCGTCAATAAGGTGTTGCCACTTCTATTAAATGTAGTAGTAACTATGATCAATATAAAATAGGTATGTGGTGTTTCGGTGTTGATTCGACAAGTGTGTACAGGGTATCCCAATTTGGGCACTTTTGCACTTTTTACTTTTAAGGGAGATACCCCGCAAAAGTGCCCAAATTGGGAGACCCTATACAACCCGGCCATTACATCATCAGCGTACCTTATCCGAGTCCATGACGGTGTTCAGCCGGTGCGCGATAGTGAGCACTGTGCACGACGCGAACTTGCGCCTGATCGTGTTCTGGATGAGGTGGTCCGTTTGCGGATCGACGTTGGCCGTCGCCTCGTCCAGCACGAGCACCTTCAATCAATTAATCAATAATCATTCTGGTATCTCATATAGTTAACACAAATTTGATGTACAGGAAAAAACATGCGTGAATTTGTATTAGGTGCTGGCAAATAAAACATGTTATACGATCGTGCAGACCCTCTAGGTACATGAATATTCAGTAAAGAGAGTGAGTGGGGAGAATCTAGTTTGCTATTGAGGAGTTTGAAAAGAGTTAGTACCGAAACGTTCCAGTAATGATTCCTGAGGAATACCTCGTGCAGGATACACCCCATCTACTCTAAAACATATTGCTTTGAGAGAACGTCTCTGTACATTCTCGATATTATTCAAGTGGGCATTATAGCCTGGTGACCAAATAATGGAGGTGTATTCAAGTTTAGTTCTCATAAATGCGTCAAACAGGAGCTTGAGAGTATTAGGGTTAGTGAACTGCTTGGTATTTCTGAACACAAAGCCAAAAGTTTTATAAGCAGACGAAACAATATCGGAAGTATGTTCAACGAATGTTAATTTAGTGTAAAAAAACTGACAGTTTTTAGTTCCTAGGAGCTAAAAAGGATGTACTAGAGGTCATCAAGAATAAACAACATTGTTATGGTTGGTTATTGGAGAAAAAAATAAATAATGACAAGGTAAATCTAGGCCGATAGGTATACGGATTAACGATTGACAGGGACGTACAGATTATGTGAATAAAGTTAACAATGGACTACTCACTATTGTTTAAGTCTAGATTATGTGAATAAAGTTAACAATGGGCTACTCACTATTGTTTAAGTCTATCAGTCGTTCAGTAGGGTATCTGACCGCTTTTATCTATTGACTTCTTGAGATTCCAAAAGGTTCAATTTTATTCCGTTATTTTTTGCAAAATTTTGAAATTATCTCCAGACTTATGTAATGTAAAAAATGATTGACGTAGGTTTAATTAGTATTTTCGTTAATAAAAGCTGTTTTATAATGTGTTATGTCTTTATTTGTTTTATATTACTTTGTATTTACCTATTTTATTTCAGTTTCATATTAATGAGGCATTTTGTAATTGTCTTATGCAAAAGTGAATTTTTGAAAATTATTACTCAGGTGAGTTTTTTCCTCATTGTTATAATGAATTTTCATCAAGTAAAAGCCGATTCAATTCAACATCGTAAAATAATTAATAAATAAGCTATAAATAAAAGTCAGAAGGTTAAAAATGTAAAATTAAAATGAATCATGTTACACAACCAGAATAGTACATCTGTTCACCGGCATTATGGATCATTTCAATACCTTAATAGCGACCGAAACAATCTATAAAAATTATTAATTGAAACAAAAATAACGATCGTTAACACTATTTTGTCTAGTACGATACCTTGTTCTGGCGCAGGATGGCCCTGGCGAGGCAGACGAGCTGCCGCTGCCCGACGCTGAAGTTGGTGCCACCCTCAGACATCTTCGAGTTGAGGCCGGCCGTCAGATCTTCGACGACCTCTTTGAGTTCGACGTCTTCCAGAGCCCTCCACAGGTCGGCGTCTGGAATTCATTCCTTTATTTAATCAAGCAACCTCATCCCCAAGAAACATTTGTTCATAGCAGGGAACCAAGGTGGATAGAATATGGTGTTTCTCCCTAAACGCTTGACCGCAGATGCCGCAATAACGGCATATTAGTTTTCAGTTGTCCGCAAGATGGCGACACTATTTACAGATTTATTTCATGACAGAACACAGAAAACGGCGCTTACTCACCGCTTGCACCAAAATAATATCATAATATTCATAACGTAACCTCAAATCAAATGATATTAAATTTGAAAGTACGGAACAGTAATTTTGGGAAATTTTAATTATCACCAGTTCTAAACCTTGAATTTTGGTCGAGATTTCGCTATCTAACATGTGATTCGCGATAGAAAATATGCGTACGCCACCTATCAGTGTTCTTGAAAGCTGTCAGAGCGGCCTGTTTACTTTGTTGTCATTGGTTCACAATAGTTCACATTTGTTTTTTGTTTGTGCTTATTGGTCACATCATCAAAACAAACCGCTCAGAAGTGTTCAAGTTGTTGCCGTCAGGTGGGGCAACGTGTTATTTTCTATCGCGAATTATTGAAAATAATTGTTCTGTCAAGTAGGTCGTAGGTCAAGAACTTTGACCGAAAAACAGTAGATGGGATTTGATAGGAGTTCCTACATCATTTTCTGTTGATCCTGCAAGAAACCTAGTAAATTCATAAATATGTATTTGACATGTAATATGAAGACGCACGCTCAAGAAGAAATACTTTTTTCTAGTTTATTTGAAAATGTTTCTTAATTGTTTCGGCCGTTAGGTAGTACATAATGGACATCCATATTAGGAAGTTTCCAATATTGAGGTTTTCATGTCACTGAGAAGTTTGTAAAAATTTAATATATTATACGTATTTTTTCTTTTTTTCCTAAGATCAAATTTCACTTTGGAAAAAAATTATGAAAAAGGAACTTAGCTGACGTACTACTCAGAATGGCCACATTCATACAGAGTTAAAATACGATTCCCTGTGTCAGTACGACGTTGCCGGCATCATCAATGTCTGAAATTCCGGAAATTGTTCTTTGAATACATTATAACTATAGCATAATAACAGCAATGGGATATAATAGGTTTCTTAATCCTACTTCATCGATTATTATGAATAATTTTAATAAATCTCTTATTGGCTTTATGAAGTTGATTACTAATAATGGCGCATTATGATATTCGGCAATACCTAGCATCTATAATTTTTCACGTTCATTACTTAACAAAATGATAATGATAACTAATCAGTCATCATTTAGTAAATTGATACATTCCTTTATAAATCGGATCTATTTTCTGGGAAAAATTTCATTTGGAATAAACAATGATAAAGAAGAGTCAATGTCAAATGATGCCCAGCTTGCTTTTACGGTGAGGTCATATTAGTCTGAAAGGTTAACAAATTGTTGTCCTTATTACCATGACTATTTTCATACCCTTCCTTTATAATGCGTTAAAATTTACAAAGCCCGAATTTGTTACCTGGAAATTCAAATCCCAAGAAGAAACCTAACAATCAAACATAGGATTCAAGAAAATTCCTCCTAACAGTTTCCTTATAGGTGATCAAAGATATCACTGCGTTAGTAAATTTTACTTGTCAGCTTGAATATTAGTTTTTGGTCCATAGATGCTCACCTGAATACTCATCGAACGGGTCCAAATTCTTCCTCATAGTGCCCGAAAACAACACTGGCTCCTGAGGAATTATAGAAATCTTCGACCTCAAATCATGCAGTCCGATATCGGAAATATTAACCGAGTCTATCAAGATCTCTCCAGTCGTGTCGCTCAGTTGAAAAATTGCGTTGATGAGAGAGGATTTTCCTGCACCTGTTCTACCAACTATACCAACTTTCTCTTTAGCCAATATCGTGAAGTTTAGATCTTTCAGTACGTAGGGATCGTGGGGGAAATACCTCAAAAATACGTGTCTGAATTCGATGTTTCCATCTTTGGGCCAGGAATCTGGCGGTTTCTTGCTCGGGGTGGACTCCAATTCGGCTTCATGTTCTATATTAGTGTATTCCACTACCCTTTCTACTGATGTCATTTGATTTTCGAGTTCTGTGGATTGTCTCATACCCCACTGGAACATACCTGTCAGACCGATAGCTTGAGTAATTGCTAACCCAACATTCCCACCAAATTTCTCTGAAAAAAAAAAAAATTGTCCAGAATTATTTGGATCAACTTCCAAATTCAACATACCTGTTCCAATTAGTAGAAAACTAAAGGTCACCAATGCAATGTACCCAATACATACTAAATCCAACCAGTACCCAAATGCTCTCGAGGTAGATATAAAACTGTACCAAGCTGAACTATGCAAGTCTTGGTGATTATCAAACTCACGAGTCAAAATTTCTTCTGCGCCAAACGCTCTTATCGTGGTTAATCCTAAGAGTGACGCATTCAAGTGGGAAAATACAGGGCTCCGGGCTAGAAAACAAAATGACATATTATTAATATAAGATCTACTGGATAACGCTATTCTTATAAATTCGACGTTAGAAAGAATCGTTGTAGCAGATTAATGGTTTTAAATTGAAATTCAATCCTCCTTCGTTGGTACATGGATATAAAATGTATTTACGGAAAAAGAAATTGATATGGTGAAACAGAAGAAATATTATGAAAAATGCCATTTTACTTCACTTTTTTCTAAATAGACTGGGCCGTTGCTTGAAGAAAATCAATAATTAATTTAAAAAAAAACGTTCACAAACTATGAGATATCCAAAAAAATTTCAGAAACGCTGTGATATTAGGTTAGAAATCTTTTCAGAACTGTGTGTGTGATGTTTATATCATTTGCACAATATTCATTGATGAAGATAATTAATTCATTATGAGTTCTCCTTCCTTATTGTTTTTTTTTTCTCTTCTTCCATAATTTGGCTAATGTAGGGGTGATTGAATTCTCTCATGCGGGTATTGCATTACAATGTGAATTCAGCACTCAATGTAACAGACTATACGAAAATAAAATATTCAGGTACATATGAAAGGGTAAATTTGAATGTTTGAGGTGATACATGAACGTTTATGAATAATAATAAATGTTCGAGATATGTTCGAGATCATCATATGTGACAATCACTTCCATAGGTTAACTAGAAGATGACAATCTTGTTTCCCAATAACATACTCAAACATTCAACCTAGTCTCTAAATCTTCTAGGCAATGTTTTTCAACTCACTTGTTCCCTCCAATCTCTTGACATTCCTGCTGGTCCTCAAATAAAATATCCTGAAAAAATAAAAGACAATCCCGATCAGGAAAGTCGGTATCATCAACCAGGGACTGACAACAGCGACGACGATGATTATACCGAGCAAGGCCAGGCCGATCTGCAAACAATCGATCATGGCGGCAGGCAGTTGTTCGTCTATGGCGCCCATGTCTTTGGAGAACCTGTTGAGGATCCTTCCGGAACTGTTGGTGTGGAAGAACCGCATGGTAGCTCTCGTGATGCTGGTGAACATGTTGTCGTGGAGTTTGGTTGAGGCCTTCATGCAGATTGAGAAGAACGCGAACGTCCTCAGCAGAGTGAGTATGATCAGCAAAACTATGAGGATGGAGTAGATGTAGATGGAAACTTCTCGAGAAAAGTGCCAGAAGTCGTTTTTTTGAAGTGTCGACAGTGTCGTTGTGTTCGATCTATTGTTTGTTTGAATGTAATTGTGTCTTTCGGCGTTGTTTTCTTGTTCTATATTAACCCTGAAGAGAACATTGAAATACAGATGTTATAGTACATTCCAAATAGGAATAAAATAAATAGCACTGCTTCAGAAGACATTTTCACGCTGGCGAATCTGGCGATATTAGAATATGACGCCTAATTGACAATCATGCTGATGGTTGAACTTGAAAATTAAATGAACGAAAAAATCTTCAACCTCAAAGTAATTTCATAAGTTATTATTAGAAAAGTGTAATATCGTCAACAAAATCAATCAATATAGAAACGGTGATAATATATTTGTGTTTTTCACTTATTGGAGATAAAAATAGTATGAGCCCACTAAGTGTGTTTTTCTCTACCAAGGTAGTTTTCGTCATTTTATGAACTACTAGGCAATAAAGACATAGCCACCTCTGTTATAATTTACCAGAATTCACTGTTCTGATGCGATATTCGTAGAATGGCACTACAACTTTTAATAATATTATGCTGCCGTGGTCCATAGCTACTAGATTTTAATTAAAATTGAAAAGAAGTGCTTTCATAGTGACAATAGTTCCATATTTCAGTTTCACAGAACTACAATGACGGAAATATATTACTTGTGCAAAAAATGCAATATACCTGCACCTTGGTCCCTGGGTAATAATTGAAGACCTCGGTGCAAGAACCGGGCAACTCCATTTTAGGCCGAAATTGGGTGATTGTATTCAATATATAGGATTTTTTCTAACATATCTTTTGGTGCTAGAATCAAGCGAATCCAACAATTTCCTATTAAGTTAACACGGGAAAAGATTCACCTGATGAGCCATTGAGGTGCAATAGTCGGGCATCTCCAGGAGTTACCCGATTTTGGCACCAAAATGTAAGCCATGACGGTGCTAGAGTCGAACAACTCCAGGAGTTACCCGATTTTAGCACCGAAATGCACGCGTGTAGTGGGAGATGTCGGAGTGTGGTTATTAGCGGCAAGCCTTTTCGCGTCTTCCATCGTGTCTGGCGTGATTATTTTGATCATTTGTTTCATGCAATACATTGTGATATCGTCGGAAAGTGAAAGTGAGGCCTTCCAAGATTCGGGGAGTGAATATATTCCAAAAACATAACTGTTGACGAAGAGGACCCACATTCTGGCAATGTTAACGAAGATCAAGACGCAGGAAACGTCAGCGACTCTTCTCATGTTCAAAATAATATTTGTTCACAACATTTTTCGTTATATATTTCATTTTCAATAGAAAAGCAAAATTATTACACGAGTTTGACTATATTTTCAGAATTTTGTCTTTTTGGGGCAAGAAACAGGCAACTCCATTTTTTCAAACTTCTTTTTCAGCTGCTACAATGTGAATGAAAATTAGTATCTTGGTGAATACAGCTCATCTAACGTCAATCTGAAGGATTCATACCATTAAGCATAATTTTTCTCAAGTTTCGCAAAAATATTAAGTTTTTTTCCATTCCCCAACATTAAAAATATTGGAGTTGCCCGGTTCTTGCACCGAGGTCTTCAATTATATTCTCTCCTACCTTGGTGTATGTATTACTATCAAATAAGCTATAGAAGAATCCGCCTAAATTTGTACAAAAAACATCAATCATCAGTCAATAGTTCATGCTCATACCATATGTAATATTCTCTCAACTGTGCTCATACCTTACATCAAAATCTTATTCTCTAGGTTAGGTCATTAAAAGTTTACAACTCCAACTAAATAGTTTAGATAAATCATATTAGAACAATAATCATTATTATTATGAAAATTCTATAACAAATTCCACATACATCATAAGTGTAGAATATTTAGGTGAAATTATCAATAATGATTTGAATTTTCAAACAAAATGTGATGAATAAATTCCAACTGTTTAGCACATGATTCAAATTCTAGAAATTTTCCTATGATAAATACGATTTTCTCCCGTAGATTTAATACTTCATTATAAGTGATAAATCAACAATAAAAATACCACTACATGACTTCAAGGAAAACTATAAGGTGATCCACTCAAAGAAGTCCGATATTGAATTGAATATGAGATGAAACAACATTCAGAAAAAGTTACAGAATCAGAATATCAATACCTATAATATATTTGCAGTGAAAGAAAAAGTCACGTAAGTTTCACAAAACAATAAAATGAATAAAAATGTAATGAACCATTGTCTGATAGTACTCCATTTTTTTCGTTTTTTTTTGTGTCTCAATCATTTTACAGACAATTATGATGACCACTTCACAGCTATTTCAAACATACCTAATTTGAAATTAGGATCAACCTAGTGTATTTCTGGAAAACGTACTTATTCCCAATACCAGCAATTTAGGTAGGTATATGGTATCAAGCTGATATTTGACTTACCAGTAAGTTAAGTAATAGTCCGAGGCACTAGCAAATAGTTGTGAAGCAAAAAACAACACGAATAAATTGAATATCACAAAACAGTTTCCACCAGCTTTGAAATAAGCTTTGTATACATAGGACCCGATCGAGCCACTTCCTTTCTGTTCCTCGATTTCTTTGGGAGCTTCGACTTCCACGGAAGCGACGCTCCTGATGGACATCTGCCGGCCGATTTCCGATTCTTCCTTTATCTCTTCCTCTTTGGTGACGTGCTCTCCTAGCACCTTGGTGAAATCGAGACCACTCGCTTGGAGTTCTCTAAAAGTACCTGAAACATTGGTACTGAGATACAGAGATAGTTTCAACTTCCCTTCACATGAGAGGACGGCGATTTAGATAAGTATATGCAGTTGAACAAAATCAAAGAGGAGCATAATGTTGAGAATAATAATCATCACATTTTTATGAGATATACTAACATCCTGTATTATGTTGCAACAATTGAATTTGGTTAATGTCAGTTACTTCATAAGAATTTAATATACATTTTGAATATAAAAGTTCTTTATGATCTTCATAAGATTGTTGAAATAATATAATAATAAAAACCCGATATCCGAACGGGTTATGGGCCCAGGCATCTGCCATTAAAAAACGAAGATCAGCAATCAAAGTTTGAGAAGGTAACATAAAATTAAAAAGAAACCATTGTGACAGTTGTATACTACATCCTCAAGAACATACTATGGCATCCTCACTAGATGATGTTAGTCAAGTAGAGAAGTTGAAAGACAGCGAAACTTTTCAAGTCTGGAAGTTCCAACTCCTGATATTGTCCAAGGCAATTCGAAATTGTGTCGAAATCATAAGAGAGAAAATAATATTGGACTCGGGCAGAAAGATTATGTGGAGTCAATTTTGAGAAATTTTAATATGGAAGAAGTAAAACCAGCATCCACACCCAAGCAGTTGGAAGCTTACTATATCTCATGAATAAAACTCGACCAGATATTGCATTTCCAGTAAGCTTCTGTAGTCGAAAAATGGAAAAACCTACTATTCAAGATGTTTCAAATCTAAAGAGGATATTGAGCTACCTGAAAGATACAAGTGACGAAGGAATACAATATATAAAGAATTCAAATCAGTTTGAACTAATTGGATATAGTGATTCGGACTTTGCTGAAGACAAAAAGCACAACGGGCTGTGTTATTTTCTTCTGTGGTGGACCAATTTCATGGTGTTCGAGAAAACAGCCGATTGAAGCTGTATCTACGACGGAAGCGGAACACACTGCCGCAGGAGATTGTACTAAATAATTGATATATTTGAAATCATTAATAGAAGAGTTGACGAATCGGTGTATTAAAATAGAATTGAAAGTTGATAATCAGAGTTCAATTGAACTCATAAAAAATAGACAGTTCAAACGAAAAAATGAGCATATTGATGTGAGACATCATTTCATCAACGAGAAGATCAACAATGGTGATATCGACATTGAATATTGCTTTTCTGAAAATCAAATAGGAGACATTTTCACGACGCCACTTGGGAATCTGAAATTCTTGAATCGCCCATGGAATGTCAAATTTCAAGCAATGACAGCTGTGTCTAATAGATGAGCATTACTTGACAGGAAATCAAATGGCTACAAGACGAAGAAATCGAAAATGCCGCTGTTATCTATTATAGTCGTAGAAAAACTATAGTGTATAACTTGCACGGAATGCTAATTTCCTACTCGAATGAGTATTCGCATATGGCTCATGCTGCAAACTTCATTCTCTTAGGAAATCACTATCATTTCGTGCTCGTTGAACAATATAGTACGGGTTAAGCATAAGTATGGTTTTCCTTTAATTACCCACCTGTCTTTGGTATCCCATCCTCCAAATACAAGATATCATCGACCTCTTGAAGATACTGTATCTGATGCGTGACCAGAACGACAATTTTGTTTCTCAAATACCCGGTGATACACTGCTCGAACAATTCCTTGCCCACATGCGTGTCCACCGCAGAAAGGGGATCGTCGAGAAGATAAATGTCGGCCGGTTTGTACACCGCCCTCGCCAAGTTGATCCGCGCCCTTTGGCCCCCGCTCAGCGACACCCCCCTGTCCCCCACCATCGTTTTGTCGCCGTAGGGCAGCAGTGAAAAGTCCCTTTACGATAATAAATTCAAAGGTGAATATTTATAGATAGATAGATAGATATATACTTTATTGTCCACTTTTTTGTGTTCATAATTATATCTGAGAATATTTCTTTTCAATGACTTGGTTTGACTCGCAAATTTTGCATTTGCGAGGCGGAGCGCCTAGCGTGTCACTTAATCTTAATAAAACAATCTACTATTCGTTGACAGATGACGAAATTTGCAGTCGGCTCTCCTACCTTACCTTTCTAAGGCACATTTTTTGACGACCGTCTTGTACCGCAGTTTGTCCATGGGCAGACCGAAGAGGATGTTTTGCCGCACGGAGCCCGCGAACAGCCACGGATCTTGCGATGCGTAGCTTATTTCCCCCGACACTTTCAACGTGCCGTCGATTAATGGGAGTTCTTGGAGGATGACGTGGAGTAGAGAGCTTTTGCCGCTACCTACGGGGCCTATCACCCCTAGTAATTGGTTAGGACCTACCTGAAATCATTTATTTCTGAATACAATATTTTATTTATCACTTGAACCGCACGAAAGGAAATTCCTATAATGTTTGTGGAACATCGTGCGTACCTAAGGAGAATAGGGATAGGCCTTTCAAGCCAGTTCAACACTATTTTTTATATTACGCTCAGCATATTACTACTTAGGAACTATATTTTTTGACGATTGTGAAAAAATTTTGTTTGCAACTCGTGCCCGAAATACTTTGGTCATCTCGCCCTAGATACAAAAATAACTATTTTCCTATACAGAATCTCTTTACGAAGAGATGGGCCCATAAAGAATGCCGTTGGAAACCGAATTTTCTTGAATAACTCTTGAAGTGATCAATATAGGTATGGTATATCCTTCAATTATTATTGTCTTTCTCGAAAACAGTTCATTTTATCAGCAATAAAGAGAAGTTCAATTTTCAAAGTTTCAGGTTCAAGCTATCAAAATTTACTATATATTCAATATGTGATAAGAAGAATTATATTTTTTATTTCAAACTATGCAGCTTGTTGTATACTACTAGTACCTACCAAATTTGTCCCATCACACAATCTTTATTTTTTGCCCATATTAGGTTAAGTGTAAGAGTAGCTAAAGCTAAGAGTAGCTATATAGCTCAACTTCGCCTATTATTATTATTATTTTGAGCATTAGAGATAAAACTAAGTCCACCCCTGATGGACTAAGAAGGATAAATATTTATTAAGGACCCTATTTTGAGGTGTCCTCACTATAGTGTCCCTTATATTACATGTTCATTGAATAATATCAATTACTTTAGCTTCCTTTGGAGCAAAATTGAAAGAAATTTGTATCTTCTGTTCAGTCCACGCAAATATTTTCAAACAGCTCTTGAGGCAACTGGCTACGGCCCCCTTCTTTGTGAATATTCTATGCTTGAATACTCTTATGATTCTGAACTAGCATATACCCTTCGTCAGAAAAAATCCAGGTCCGGATTTGAAGAGATCGCTGGTTTTGGATTTGAAAAGATCGCTGGTTTTCAGGATTTTTTTCGTAAGTTGCTGATTATAACGAATTCATTCCTTCCATTTGCACTATATACAGTGTTTATGTGATTCTTTTCTTGTGATACAATCAGCAACTTCAACAAATTCTGACAAGTGTATATTTTATTATAAATGACAAAAATGACCTTGAAATGCATATTTGTTGAAAGTTGACAAATCGTCGCCCTATAATGATGTATTAGGGTTATATCTACTGAATTCTTCATTTTGAGGGGTCAACTATCGCAATCTGTTGGAATTCAAATGAGTTAGTCATAATGCAGAGTTCTATCTACTGAACGTTTCTCTCTGAATTCTTTGTAACAACATCCTAACTACATAATTCAGTTCATCGTGGTCCTATCTACCTAGTTCATAATGATTAAACTTTCACAGTCATAATTATTGAGACGTACATATGGATCAAACTGATTTTTGTTCACCTTTATCTTTTATCAAGAATTTGAAAGCAGTGAATAAAAAAAGCCATAATGCATCTTATAGAGCTGAAAGTGTCCTATATCGAAGATTTTGGAAGTTGTGCCAAGAAAATTCAATACAGAAATAGTCCTTTTTCCCAAGTTCCTGCAATGATAGAAGGTGAACGCTATTAAAAAATGAGAGCTGCATGAACAAGACTGACAGAAACTATTTTGCGTATTTCTAAAAGATCTAAGTTGAATCAGTCATTTTGTACTTCTCTATTCCGATAATTCGAAATATTCTTTTGAAAGAATCTACGTGCGGCAATGTTTTTATACATATCACTATTATTACTACAAATATTATTGTATATGTCAGTTGGAACCTTGTTGGATCACTTAAATAGAAAAATCTTCTGGAACAAAGTTCTATCTACATTTTAGATGGTCGAATTGACATTTATTTGAGAATGGGAGAAGGGAAAAACTTAACTGACAAAAACTTCAACTCATTGGAATATACTCAATCAGAACAAAGAATCTGATCGATTGAAGTGAAACGAAATAGATGAAGTCAAAAGTTCGGAGCACGATTCTGAGCAACTATACTTGGTCCAGATAAGTACCATATTATTCTAGGACGACGAAATATGACAACTAGATTCGTGTTCGAAACGTCGACCTTGCCCATTACTAACCTTCAAATTGATATCGCTCAAGGTATTGTCCATAGAGGATTCACTCCACTTTGCGCTGGCATTCGTTAAACTGATCCCCAATTCTTTCTGGGTCCCGACCCCATTCATCGACTTGCTGAGATCACTTTCAGCTTTTCCTTTCCACATCATCTCCGATTTTCTATTAGCTTTGGCAATCTGTGTTTCATCATACATCATGTACTTATTCAGTCTTCTTATTGAAACTTTGGCTTCTGCTACTTGAGATATCCCTTGCGGGAAAAAAACTGTCATGGTTTGACGTAGGATATTGTAAAACGAGGTAAGTACGAATACTTTTTCTGCCGTTATGTCGTACCCGGATAGGACATAGGCAAGAATACTGACGAAAATTGAGATCCTGGTGCTGTACATGATGAAAGAGAGCAGTACTCCTCGCATAAAGGAGGATGTTCGAATAGATTTTATCTCGAATCTGAAAATAATGAGCGAAGGTGTCTCAAAGTGGATTAATGAGTATTGTAGATAGTGAAACAAGTTTACTCGAAATCATCGCACTTGTATCATGTGAAATAAGTCCAGTTTGATGATAAAAGTGTGAAGTGAAATGAGATATTTCTGTTTACGTTTGCAAATAACCTCGGACACGTCGATTTTATTTCTCGGAGCCATCAAACTACATCATAAAATGGTTCAATTTTCTTCCCTGGCTCTCCTGCGGGGAGATTTTAGTCGTGTTTTTTTTTCATAAGGAGCTCAAGGAGAAAGTGGACAGTGCATCATTCTAGAAAAACTCTATATCCCTTTAATCATATAACTAGTATGCATTTATCCTCTTTATATTAATACACCCTTTATTTATAATACATATTTTTTCTAAATTTTTCATTCAGTATCTGTTCTCCCGAACAACCAACATTGAGGTTACATGGGATTGTTAAGTTTTATCCACATCTTTGTTATATAATTAGCTGTGGTATATATTTATTCCTTCTTGGATAAACATGATTATTATTATTATTATTATTATTATTATCATTATTTTTATCTAACTCGAACACAACTCATTTTTCTTAGTCGAACTTGATTTGTAATAATTCCAGCTTCCGTATTTCGGCTTTTTTAGTAACAGCTGTGCATGTCTGTGCGTAAAGTTGATAAACCCAGATGGTTTTCATCAAATCTCAACATCCTCTGATATTTCCAATAAGTTCAAATTCTACAAATATCACTTTATATACACACATATAGTTATGTCTTAGTCCAGTTTTTCCTATTTAATGTTTACTATATCAGTACGCTCACATTTATAATGGAAAAACAAAAGGAACAAAGATTATGAGAATCAAGCGGTGTTCTAATAATCATTCGACAAAATATCAGATGAAATAACATATTCGATATGACATAGATATTTACATAACCAGTTAGGAATCGCTTCATTTTGTGTAACGATGGGATTTTACGGGACAAGCGAAGCTGGGATTCCTTAATTAACGTAAACTAATGTATGAAACAGCGTACGATATAAGTAAATAAACATAATTGAACTTACGAATCACATTCATTATACATTTCTTACCTTCTTGCTAACGAAACTAATTGTGCGAATGGTTTTTCCCAAGCATACATTTTTATTACTTGTATACCAGATATAATTTCATTCATCGAACGAACTCTTTCATCTGTTCGCAGTGCCGTTTTCAAACGTAAAATAGAAAGACGTTTTCCTAAGTAAACTGAAAAAAAAAAAATTTATGAATTTTCAAATTTTCAATTAATCCTAGAATCAGTATTGAAATGTCTTGAAAGTGGTAAAAAACCGAATATTTCGAAAATCATCAAACCATTGCAATATAAGTACTTTATTTATAGGTACTTCCAGCTTTCTCTTAACTCTGTAGGCTGCTGAGAATGCAAATATTAACATTTACTTACTCTGAATGGGTATGAACAGTATCAAAACCAATACTCCAACGGTGGCAAAAATACCGACTTGTAAGTACATTAAATAAGAACAAATGATAGTTTCGATTGGTCCCACCCACAATTGGTGGGCGAATAGTACCGCCACATCAAATCTATTGACGTCATTCGATAAGAGATTGACTACCTGACCAGCAGTAGTCTCTCCTAAGGCGGTTTTGCTAAGTCTCAATGACTTCCTGAAATGTTGAAAATTTCCGTTAGTTAACTGAATCGTCAAGAAAATCAAAAGATGAGGCAGAGTGATTCAGAAAATGATCGACAAAGGAAAACGAAAAATCATCAAAAGTGCTCAAATAATTAAGTGAACCACTCGAATTTTCGAGTTTTTAAAATGCGATAACTTTTTCAACTTTTTTCCAGATGAACCGATTTTCAATCGGATATTTCTCATCCTTTATAAGGAAGGCCATCAGACATTCCAAAACCATTTCGAGATATTGACTTGAAGATTTGAGAAAGTTGATTTGCAGAAGGATGAAAAAATTCCCGGGGAATGCGGAAGCTCCTAAACTTTTTCGATTATGTAACACTCTTTTTGATTACTTGGTATGCCATAACTGGAAAACTTCGAGAAGTCTCGAACAATGAATCTTGAACAGAAAGGAAGCATCTTTGTAACACTGCATTCCGATTCAAAAAGGGTTAGTTTGCAAAAAAAGTTATCGCATTTTAAAAATCGTCGAAAATTCAAGTGGCCCACTTAATTCTTTGAGCACTTAATGAATCCCCATGATCACTTTGAGAAAACAATTGAGACAATAGGAGCAACCACTGACATAACTACTACCTAGACCGCTATATGTCATATCCCATCAGAAACCCAAAAATTTCATCCAAATTGCTTCGCCCGAAAACGCTTCTGCTCAATGCGCAGGAACTGCCAAACTGTCGGTCATGACATCATATCATGTCTCTGGGTATTCGGAAAACATAAGTAAGAGTGAGTAAGATATATGACAGGTCATGAATAGGCCCGCTCCCATAATACCAAGTTCAATCTCGCATAAATGAATGAGTTTTGATCTAATGCATCAGCGGTCTAGTTAGTAATTTACGGCGGTGACCTATACCTACATGTATTGGGCATGGAATAGTTTGAACATTCTCCAATTATTGTAATTGTCAAATTTTGTTCAGTACATTTGACAACAGCAAAACGTTTTTTACGGGATTTTGTTGCTATAAAACAGTGAAATAAAGCAGGATTTACAATGATAGTTAGTTTGTTAAATTCACCTGTAAATTAAGGAACAACATGCTACCCTCATTTTCATCCCCAAATGAAGCACCCCGAGCATGTAAGGGTGGGCACACATGATATTGATCAGGGAGCATAAAACTACCCCTCCTGCATAATAGTAGGCATCCCCTTGCGTGATGTCTGTCTGACCAGGGGTGTAAAATGCTATAAGAAGGCCTAACACCATTGGTTGGGCTATCCTAGAAAATAGATAATTGTAGGTACTGTTACTCAAGTATGTTCAAGTATTTTTATTCAAATATTTCATATACAGTCTAATTATTAAATAATAATAATAATATTCTTATAAATAATATGAGGTAAGATTTGCTCTCTGGATACAACGTACCTAGGCATAGATGCCTGAATGTGTGTTGTATCTAGGGCTTTTCTAAACTACTGGAATGCTGTACATAAATATAATAGAAAATTAGGCGGGCAGAATGTACAGGAAAGGGAATCTATGTATGTCGTAATACTAGTGTGTTACATGCTTATATACAGGCATGATCCTAATATGAATATAGTTTCAGAAAACTCAAAAAGAAAAAAGTTACCCGAATATCATTGATACCATGGCAACCGTTTGAAAGTTATACATGAAATATATATTTTTATTCAAACTTTCAAGGTCAATGACTCCGTAACGAAGTGCGATAGAAATTTTTTTATATGAAGTAATCAGACATTATTTTGGCTCACTCTATGAGCCCAATCATTTATTACGACATAATGTTTCCGGACACTATGTATCCCAGAAATATCCAATTGAAAAAGGAGACTTGAAAATAATTTTCCATTGTATGAAAAGACCAATTAGTAGGCTATGTGTAATGTGTCCCTAATGTCAGATAAATATCAAGAAAAATAAATAGGCCAATTAAATTGTAAGTATTGAATAATGAGTATTGAAGGAGACAACTGCAATAGTTTTGAATCTTGTGGTACCTACTTATGTACTTATGTATGTATGTTCCCGCAAAATAAGAGGAGAAGTTTATATGTTTTGAAGCTTAGTTTTCGATAATTTGACCTCATTTACAATTTAAAAAATTCTATGGGGGTTGATCTGTAGGGCAGGAGGTTGATAGGTGGTTGAACATTTTTATGTAAGAAAAATGTTTGCATTCAAATAAAAATCGATAAGAAATCGTTTTGATATATACAGGGGATTTTTTGCAGCCCGAGAATAACAAACCTTCTCAACTCACCGAATCGCTTCGCTCAAAGACAAAACTATTCCATAAAATAAAAACTCCCATCCGAAAACTTTTATCAGCACCCTCTGGAGGGAAGGTTCCGTTTTTCTAGCGGCCGCTCGCTCTTCCTCTGCCTTCCAATAAATCTCCATCTTATTTCCGAGGATGCTGGATTTATGTTCTGTGAGAGTTTCAGTTAGGTCCGATTCGTCTAAGTCACGCCTGAATCCCGAAATAAAAGTTGGGATCGTGTATCTAAAATCAATAATGGTTGGATTAAGAAAATAATATTGCTGGTATTGTTTCATGGACGGAAAATAAAATTCAAATTTATTAGTCCCGCCCCTGAGTGTATTTCCACTTAGCACCGTGTGTCGTGAATTTTCTTCTGTTGATTTTCTTTCATTACAGTAAGTTGCCCTTGAAGTCGATGATATATCACTAAACCGCGAGTAAATCAATTCATTCAGAAAATACCGGTTGTCGAAAAATATTCGAATTCTGTTTGGTACATTACACTATAAATGTGCTGAGAACTGTAAATGGCAAAAGAAATGTTTAGTTGGTGTTTTTCCAGAATTACATGTCTATTATTAGCTCTATTTTTTCAGTAATTTTTTGATGTGTTCCTATTTTCCCGACTGAAATGGTAATAATTATCGATGCCGTATTCTGACGTCACATCTGCGTTATTCCACGTTATCTACGTCAATTTCAATAAAAATTCTTATTGAGTGATACTCTCTATTTATTTTTAATCTATTTGTATATTCGTTTGCTCATCAATATTTTATTAATTTATTATATTTGCGTTTATTTACTTGTATTCTTTAATATTCAACTGAAATCTGAAAGTGTATGTATTGATTCCATGGTAAATAAATATTATTATTATTATTATTTTCAGCGCGGATAGTGCAAAATAATTCAACTGGATAATTACTTTCATTTTTTCGTCTCTGGAATTTCCTTATTCTTATGTAGAAATTTCAGGCTGACGGTTGACCAATTCCAACTCTCTTCTGGATTTTTTACACCTATATGATGCCAATTATTGCATAACGATGTGCTATTATAATCACATTAGTCAATACCTTGAACGAGACCTTCAGTATAATGTTAGTTCTTATTTCACGAGATATAAAATTATTAATATATCACCTATATTATTTATATATAATAATAACTAAGTCTTTTTCAAATCGATCCTACCAATTTCACAATAAATCAAAACTTGTTCAACAAAATATAATATATAGTTTCCGAAATAAGTACTTATATGAACCTACTAATGAAGTTGAATTAGCCATTCATATAATACGAGATTATTGTCCAATTCGGCTCTGCGGCCTCACTAATTTCGTAACGTTCAGGAAACACTGGGCAGTAACTGTAAAGTACTATTCAAGGGTACTATGGAAGTGATTTTGCAACTAAAATCCGCGTGCGATGTACAAAAAACATCTCCATCCGCTCTTATTTGCAGCGAAATGTCCGCGACATCAAGTACGCATTCCATTGAGTGTTGTTCAAATTGAGATTTGGAAAAATAGCCCAAATAAAACATATATCCGTATATCCACTGTGGAAGTTTTTGAGACAATGAATGTCTTCTTAATAATCACATTGAGCTCTTTCATGCGAGGATTCTCTGAGACTTCTCCATTCTATTCCTTTTGATGTGGTGACTTTCTCGAATAGATTTCGCCGCGATATTTCTTGATGACGATCTTTTTAACTAGAATTTTAACACATTTTGTGGTAATGACATTGTGGTTATTTATTATTATCCTGAAATAATTATCACTGCACTTTTTAACAAAGCAAATAAGTCTCAAAGTTACCACGTTCAGAACAAATATACGTAATCAAAATGAAAACATATTTCCATTTGCAATCTGGGACTTCGCGAAACTGCCATGTGATGTAACGTGTTTGTTTGCTGGCATCGAGTCTTTTCAAGGCCATGAAGTTGTAGAAAATCGATGGTATTTTTTCAGAATCTTTGTGAAATAAAAATTGTGCTAGAGTTTCTCAAATATTATACTATAACGTTTCTTTAAAAAATATCCGATATTTTGAAGGCTTCCTCGTCTTGCAACTGACAGAAACTCTGCAGTTGGAAATGATGACTTTTGTTCGTTTAATCGGAAATGCAACAATTTTTTCGGCACTTAATGAATTTTATTATCCAATAAAATGGTTTGATTAGCTTTTACACTTCATTAGGTACTATTCAAATGAGCTTGGAACAATCGTGTGCTTTCTGCTCTTAGAGGTCTGCTCTGAGGTAGGTCACTCAGTAGCACTCGAATTACAGTGATTTGAGTGCTGAATCCGGCGAATGGTGTTTCTCTAAATATTCTGAATTCTTCTAGGTAGTTACCTAGAAAGGAATTCGGATTCATCCGAAAGCTCCGATTTCGGATCATTTTGAAACAGGCAATTCAAATGGTTATATATATATTATAATATGTATGTATGAGGTCAAGCATTTCAATAAAGACATTATGTAGGATTTAAAAAAAATAAAATAATGGGAGTATATTCAAAATAATGAGTTTAATGGGTGATGCAAAGCCTTGAGATTATTTATTTTCGTGTCATCCTCCATAAGGTGTCCTTTCCTGCTTCCTTCCCTCCTTCCTTTTTTTTTCCTTCCTGTCCTGCTGCTCTATGATGGACTAGTCCTGGCAAACTGAAATTCAATAATCTTCCAAAGTTCTGTTTTTTAGTTTTTTTTTATAAGAATGTACTCACTTCACTAATCGGTTCAATCTCGAAAACACTCTGTATATAACATCGAATTGATATTCCTCCAAAAGTTGAAATTAAATTGAAATAAAAACGATCTGGGTATGCATCTATTCCCAACTGTATGATAGAACGCCACTGATGAATAATGATGATGACATAATCAAAATAGCTGTGATTCAGAGGATTGACAAACGAACAAAGTGCCATTGTTTGTGTTATCAGTAGCGAACAAGAGATAAAGTTTGCAATATCTAGTAATCCAGGGTTGGACTTGAACAAGTAAATTTGGAATTTACTGGGGTCTACTTATCATAAACCGATAATAAATCAATACAAAATGACAATATACCCACATTTTTCAATACATCTGCTATTAAATAATAAATAAACAATGGTTTTCGAAGAAAGATTTATATATTTCAATGAAAAATCTATGATGATAACTTTATCTCTTGCGACATCTAGGAGGTAAAAAGTTGAAACAATTGCGGGATACTCCTAATCGGGGTACACCCTGTACACATTAACTGGGTATCGACCTTCAGTCCATGTGTGTCATGTGTAGGGTTTGTTACTGTCACCACACGCCTCCTTAGAAGCAGCCTTGATAATTGGAACGCAACAGTGAATCGTAAGAAAGTATTATATCTCCGGCTGAGGTGTCTCTGCTCTGAGGAGGAATGAAAATCACGACGTTGTTTGCCTCATCATTCGAGATTGCGCTCCCAATTTGCTAATTCCGTCATCTTATTTCGTTTATTACCCACAGACATTGACCTAATTCATGATATGTGATGTTTTGATTGCCTTCCAATTGAGTTGATACTCTTCAATTGTTTGGTATTTTCGGTCTATTACTGGTTTAGGTATAACTGTCTCACACCAGTCACACTATCCCCAGTTCCAAACTGTGATAGTTAATCCAATATCCGGGGAATACAATTAGAGTCCCGTTCATTACCTGCCCTGAAATACTGGGTACGAATAGAGTTCCATGAAAGAAAAAGATAGAAAATGCTAAAATATACTAATACATCTTATATTACCTGTTCAAATGGAATTGTACTAGCTCTATGAAGAAGGTTCATTTAGGCCAAGTGAGGTTAGATTGTTTAGAAAAAGTAGTCTCCTTATTCTAAGATATGATCCTTCCTCACGATTTTATTGAGTGATGGTTCAGTTTTAAAAAATATATACTCTATAGGAAGAAGGTTCTTTAAGGCCGAGTAAGGTTAGATTGTTTAGAAATAGTAGTCTCCTTCCGAAAAATATATATATACTCTCTATGAAGAAGGTTCATTTAGGCCAAGTGAGGTTATATTGTTTAGAAAAAGTTGTCTCCTTCTAAGATATGATCCTTCCTCACGATTTTGTTAGGAGATGGATCGGTTTTAAAAAATATTGTATATTGTATAGGAAGAAGGTTCATTAAGGCCGAGTAAGGTTAGATTGTTTAGAAAAAGTTGTCTCCTTCTAAAATATGGTCCTTCCACACGATTTTGTTGAGAGATGGATCGGTTTTAAAAAATATATACTGTATAGAAAGAAGGTTCATTGAGGTCGAGTAAGATTGCCCCCCCCCCCCTCTTGCCCTCAAGTGGCGTCGCCCATATAATCTGAGAGTTTATAAAAAACAACTATGTATTATAATAAACCCTAGTCACAAATTTATTATTATAAGCCTAGTGTGTATTTAGATCTATGCTAATACATAACATAAGCTCTCTGAAGCACTTGTTTATTCACCATTATGGATGATTGGATAAATAGTTTTAATGCAGGCACTGATTATTTATCATAATACTCAATAAAAATCGATGGGATCCTTTTGCGAACTTACGAAAAAGATTCTAAAAATATCGCGCATGGGTAGGTGATACTTACGAAAATGTTGCAGCTGATAGAGGAAAAGCATTTTCACGTGGATTGGGTTTTCGACTTTTCTTTATGCCGCCGTCCATAACAAATTTGAAATTTTGTTCAAATACTTCCTTTAGGCAGGTATTTCTGAAAAACAGAAAAGGCTCAGTCAACATAGTTAAAAATGTACAGTGAAGTAACAATTTGATATAAATGATCAAATAATGAATAAAATAAAAAATGGACTAAAATACCATATTAATATTTAGAAAATCCCAAATATAAATTTCGGCAATACATAGAACTAGAAAGAAATCATAACTATTCAAAAATATGTAAGTAGATGTTTTTTTTTCTTCATATTAAATGTAGGTATTCCTCTAAAGCACAGTAAATTATCCTTTCTCGTACGATGATAATAAACTCTGTGTCTAAAGGGACGACTATAAACTGCATAAATATTTTCGCGGGCAAACATTCATCCTTCAAGACTCCTTTTTTCAAACTATAAAAAACATGAGTAGTTCAAAATGTACATACATGGATGGGAGGTTTTCCCATGAAGATAATAATGATTGAAAACCACCTGACAGATTACCCATGAATTTATTTTTCTAAAGATAATAATTATCGAAAACCACGTGACAGATTACCCATGAATTTATTTTTCTAAAGATAATAATGATTGAAAACCACGTGACAGAGATCACTATGCAACCCAGAATACAATCAATATTGAAGACCCACTTATGAGCTGTATAATGTTATAATATTCTTTTTTCGCGAAAAAAATTCATTCCTTTTTCAAGTGGAGTGCTTTTTTCACTCCTTATCCCAGTTAATATTCATTAGATTCCAGCCAAATTTGGCCTGGTATAGGAAACCAGCAATACCATAATTTTTTCAGAAATGAAAATGAACATAATTTCGGACAGTGCCGTGAATAGAAAAGTGGTCGATTTTTGAAAAATCATTAAAGGAACTTTGTACAGAAAAACCTAGAAATACTAATCTCACGATATTGTTTTTTGTGTTTTCTGAACTGTCATATATAAATTTTCACCTACTTAATCTATCAAACATTCTAGATTATTGTAATTCATTATTTTTCGGAATTTGAAATGAGGTGGAATTTCACATATTTATGATAATGCTTGTATTGAGTGGAACTATCTATAGGCATCGATATCGATATAGTTATGTTATGTATGTTTTGATTGGTATAGATATTTATCGATATGTACCGATTTATCGATATATGTATATAGGTATATTAATGGCTCGATTCATAATATACATATATCGAAATTCATGATGAAAGGGGGACCATCTAAAGTGATAAGTTGTATTTACATTATTTAACTATTGAATGAATCACTAGAAATGTTGGCAAAAGTATAGCCATCATCATCAGGTTTTCAAACTAAACCTATAGTTGTGCCAAATATATGGAAAAGATTCCGAGTTCCAAATAAGGTTTTTACGTCCCAAAATTTTGGAAAAACATTTTTACCATTTGATTATTGATTCAATAGCTATACTTCAAAAAATTAACTTCGTTTAGTTCGAATACGTCCAATATGTGAAAAAAGTGAAATATCGGGGAAAAATTATATTGGTTCAATGTAAAGACTAGAGTGTGGTTGGAATTCGAGCCTCATCATTGGGATCTCGTAAACCATAATTAAGAGATACAGGGTCGGTCAAATTATGCCAAAGTTGCGCAATTTCATGCCTAACAAAATGCTGTTTCAAACCTCGGAAAATTCCGAATACTTTCGGAGATATACCAAAAAAACGAAATTTCCGGAACCTTTTTCTCGAGGTATTTGAAGAAAAATTAATCCAGATGAATGACACTTCACCATGGCTACTTTTTCTTACTAACACGTTGGCGTTTTCAAATTTGAAATCCGAGGTTTCGTCTTCCAGAAATCAACTTTTATTTTTTTATTACGGACCTAGTTTATTCATTTCATTTTTCACACCTTTGGATATTCACACATTTTTATTCTCGTAATTTTCGTTTACAATTCAAAAATGTCAATTTTTGTGTACGATACATTCGAAAATAAAAATTTGTGATAGCTCATAGCTTTTGGGATTTCCCATGGTGTGGGAAAATGAAATGAAAAGTCCAGGTCCGTATTTAAATGAAAATAAGTTGATGATGGTTTCTGGAAAACGAAACGTTGGATTAAAAATTTGAAAACGCCAACTTGTAGGGAAAAAAGTGGTCATAATTAATTGCCAAGCACAAAAAATGCAGCGAGAGATGAAGGAATCCGGTTGGTATACATTATGATTTAAAAGTAAGTACCTACTATAGTCACTCACATATAGTTCATTTTGAAATTTGGTAATTTCCCTGACATCTCATCGGGATTCCTTCTGCAATAGGAGCTAGTAGAAATACTCGTGAAATTTCTAAAAGAATGCAAGAAGATTGAATCCATCCAATCAAACGGGAGGACTTCGGGGAGGACTGGTCTGACCTGCTGACGAAATATGATCGTGTGTGTTGTAGACATTTTCGTTCTATTAGCAGTATTAGCTTCTATTACAGAAGTGGCAGAAGAAATTTCAATAAGAAATGACAAAATTTCATAATGAGAACTATGTGAGAATACTATTCACCTGAAAAATCATATTTCTTCGTCTCTCGCTGCATTTTTTGTGTATTGTACAACAGCACAATGAGAAGGAATGCTTGAATTAATGAATATCGCAAAAAACACGATTCATATGCCAAAATATTGTGAAAAACTATTTCAATCCTTTGATTCCTCTGTAAACAAATAAAAAAAGTGAGTGTGTTTCAATGTCTTACAGAAAAGTGAGGTTGTGTTTCAATATTTTACCTCCAGGGTCGGTCATCGTGCACGCGACCTATTTAGGCTATATTCCGAATTTAACTGGTCAGTACTGTAAGTTGATCCACTGACTCTGCTGAAAATCTGTGTTCCGAAATATAAAATCAAAAATTCACTACTGTAATTCGGGACACTAGATGTTTAGCCTCCTACTTGTTATAAATTTTGGAAATTTAATATTTATGGAAGAGAAATCGATTCTTGTATCCTCTTTAGTTTCTACGATTGTTGACGATGGCGATTCAAGCTCGAGTGATGAAGAATACTTGGACATTTTGTTGCCATACATTTCTCATGATGCACCAGATTGAGAATTGAGATTCATGAAAATCGCAAAATGCCTTAATAATGATGAATTTTAGGAGACATTCCAGGTTTATTTAGTTTATTTAGCCAATGCTGCTCCTTTCCTTACTTGCTCTATTACTTCATACTCCAGGTATTTTCTGATATTGAGAATCATTTCATTAATAACGGAAATTAATGTTACATATTCCTTCCCCCTCTAAAATATGACAGTTCACTGAAGCCACACTACCTTTTGATACTCAGCAATTCCAGCAGAATGTTGAGTCGAAATATTTGGAATGAATAGTATATCTGCTGACAAGCATCTGTCACTTCCAGTGAATTTTTGATTTCGGAATGGAAAATCAGCAGATTCAGTACTGTCAGTTGAATTCGGAATATAGCCTTAACCGACAGGCGTGACAATTCGGGGTATTAGTTTTGAGCTCGGTTTTGAGTGTTATTGCATTTTTCTGCTCTACTATCACCAGATCACCACCATAGGTGCCAGAGACCTAGAGGTTTACTATGGGTAAATAGCAACACAGGACGAACTCACCCTTATCTGATTATTCACAAATGATGTGTACTTGAATTACTATCTTATAGCTATGACAATCTGCATTTTACGAGAACTTTTCAGATCGGAACCCCGAACGGAACATCAGTGGGTCGAAAATCAACCAATATAGCTCGTCAAAGAGTATCTGGTATATGCTGGTATCTAGGTTTAGAGATTAGATTAGATTTGTAGGAGGAGCATGCCATATATTATATAATATGATATAATATAATATAAGACTTTTTCGTCTTTGTAAACTTTCAAAAATGGTAGATATTCCAGATGACTAGTATATTCCTTCGCATACTACGAAATTGACAATCTTCACGCATCTTGAATGGCGATTGGTTTATACAGGGTGGCCATTTGAAAACGAAACGGAGCCAATTTTGCGCATCCTAGGTTACTTACGAAAAAACGCGGGGACCCGTCAATTTTTTATTCTAGCGGAAAACATATTCTCGCCAGTCTCACCCCTGAACGAGAACCCTCTAGCGGGGGTAAAACACCCCTGAAATCTTAAATGGAAAGGAGGGTCGAATGATATCTTATTCCTCGTCTTATTCTGAAGTTATTGTTACCTAAATCATAACCCTCGAGTTTAACATCGCTACGTATAGCCGTTACCACAAAACCGGCTTATAAAAATTGCGTGTGTCCATATATTGACAGTTTAGAATGCAAGACTGATCAAATCCAACCATAACTTGATCTCTTCTATTTGTTTACTTAGGCCACATCATTTTTTTAAGACAATTTTCGAATAGGCCTTTGCCTTCAGGGCTAACTGGCAGACTTTCGAATATCAAGACTTTTGACTTTGACAAAGACCTCAGGTCAACAACAACTGATGAAACTGGAAAATTGTTAGCCCACATTTTTACAAAAAAAAATGCTTTTCCAACAACAATGTAAAAATTATCCGTTTTTGTACTTTTGGTGAGACACTGGTATGGGCTACGTAGACGTAGACAATATAAAACTTGGGGGTTATGATTCTCGAAAAATACCGTCAAAATAAGATATCATTCGACTCCTCTTTCCATTTGAGATTTTGGCGGAAAATGTATCCCCCTAAAATCAAGAATTTACGGGTCCGAGCGTTTTTTTCGTAAATAACCTGGGGTGCCCAAAATTGGCTCTGTTTCGTTTCCAAATGGCCATGCACCCTGTTTACCAACATACAAAGCGTCGTTTTCGCTAATATAAAGGTTGTTTTTTTTCGAGTTTTTTTTGCAACCGACACAAAAGTAGTCCATTTTAATACCAACATTTTCTGTTACTGACAACATAGGTATGTTCACACTTCTAGTTCCTGGGATCTGAAGTTGAACTTTAGCTCCTAGGAAATAAAAAGGATGTACTCTAGGTCATCAAGAATCGACAACATTTTGTTACTGTTGGTTATTTGGGTTGGGACGCATACCTGATTTGTTCCCGCTTTCGGCGGATTTGGCATTTCAACATTTCATACCCATACTGGAGATATTAATTCACCATATTATAGTTAATTCTTTTTGTTTTGATCAGGAAAGCCTTCAATATACTTGCTTGATCTGTATTTTATTTGTTATTCTCGGGATCTGATTGATTGGATAACTTGTTTTTGAATAATCATGGCGAGCAAAACTGTTCTCGCTTTTTTGTCTCACACAATGATATTATACACCTTCATTTGATTACCGAGCCAAAAACAATGGAATATGGAGATAAATAAATAATCGCTATTATATTTGTTGATATGTTGATATGCTCACTAACCCAACATTTTCCACTTCTTTTTCGCGTTATTTGCTATGAGGGTTGACACCTGGTCCAAATGTGGTTGTATTCATATTGGAACTACAATCAGAGCATCGTTGAAAATTGAATAAACCTGATCTGTAAATGCACAAATTGTAACAAAGTAAAGTATGTTACCCCCAATAAGTATTTCATTTTGCTATATTATAAAAATAAAAGTAGTTATATGTTCAAAACTATGTTGTATCATTTTGTTTTTCAGTTTAGGCGAGTTTAGGTAATTCAATACCTTAGATTAAAAAGACCATGATCTATGATAATACCCAATACCTATATATGGGAATATTCAGCTCCTTATTTACGCGCCAGCAGATAGTTTTGCCCCCCGGCGCCGCTGTTTCTAGCAACGCCACTGCTAAAAGATACCCTGTATAAGGTTAGGTAGAGTATCTCAGGTAGAGTGAAGTTTCAATAAATCCTATGAATTATTTGTAGGTAAGTAGTCCTTTTTTGCAGTTTTGCTCTATATCTATACCTATTCATGATTGACTTACCAATTAATATAAATATTGAAAACATATAAACTTGAACCGGAAACAAACACAATGGAATGAATTTTTCCTCGCGTGTCAACTGTACATTTTCCCATGAAATAGGTATACTCGGAAATATACTATTGGAGGTGGTACTTATTATATTATATTTTTTCTCTCACAACTTTGCGCCTTCGCACAAATTTACTCGACACACGAGGTCAATAAGCTACACGTTATGGGAAAGAATGAAGGAAATCGATTCGACGATTCGATTCCTAATACTGAAATAGTTACCTCTGCCGTCACTGAATTCGTCACTATTTCGCAGTAAGGAGACGAGAACGCGCCAACCAGTAAAATCATCAGCAAATCTATTTCCCACACACACACGCACCGTAGGCACCTCTGTTCCGCTGAAAAACAGCTGACTGTTGGTCTTGGATCTTGGCATTGGCACCGGCAAGTTTACAGAATTATTGGCCAAACATCTAAACTGACAAACCAAGGAAGCGACGAACAGCTGACCTCGGTATTCTTCGTCAGAGTCGTCGATGTAACTGGGAGAAAGGGGTACCCTTTTTAGTAGGGAAGCCCAAGCGGGGATTTCGGGATTTTACTCGAGCACGGCAGATTAACTTGGACCTTGTGAAGTACTCCCACCATACCTGGTACACGACGTTAATTACATGCAGAAAAGTGTGCATTTCAATAATCTGACGATTTGAGCTTGACATAAGGAAATGGGAGAGCCACAAGCCACAAAGTTGCAAAAAAAATCGACACCTGTATATTCTAGAGCGCGGTTAATTTTTCTCTTATTTTGAAGGCAATTAGTCACGGATCACGGAAATAACATAATCTGCCGATTTGCACAAGTCGAAGTAGCGAAAATCATCAATTGAGAGTGGTGCATGCAGCCACTGGAAACTATGTATGTAATTGTGGTAACGTAGGAAACTGAAAAAAAAGTATCACTTCGTATATTGTTATATCAATGCTTGAACCTTGTCAGCTCATAAGGAGGAATCTGATAATGCAATAAAATACAAGGTGTGCTATAAGAAAAAGTATAAGTTTGATACGCCACGCATTTTTGAGTTACCCAGTTAGCGCAAAATATTTCAAAAATGTACTGCTCATGAGACTAGAACGATGTCAAGCATTTTTGTTCAACTATCTCAAACAGCAAAGCCGTTATATCTCACTTTGCCACACTATTGGTTCACCCTGTATGTCTACATGAGCTTTTATTCCATCTCAAAATTCTGAATTCTTCGAGCTGTTGATGTCCTGCTACAAAAAACGGACCCACCCTATATATATTTCATATTTCATATTTTAGTTAGGTATTACATTCAGTTTCTACATAATTGTCAGATTAGGGGTTGATACGACAAGGACATCAAGATGAAGCGTCTGTATAATAATCTGACGCGGTCGAGTATTTCAAGGTGAATATTTTTTTGCATTCTCAAGAAGTGATCATGACTTTTGGTCGCGTCCAAATCGTCAGTCATTTGAATTGGAGCTACCTGAGGGTTCACGCTCGAATACATTTTTTTTTTTTACTTATTCTCCATCCCTTCGTACGGCCACCCCCAGGTTATCAGAAACACGTGGGGTGCATACGCACTATTAATATATGATGCGCCCGAGTATTTCCATGTGACTGTTTTCTTTATTTATTTAATTTTGAACACCTGTACACGCTCTCCCCACCAGTGAAAGGTCATATTATATCATATAAACTTTTTTCCTTTTCGCATCTAATCTTCATAATCTGATACGTCTCCACGACGCTCGAGTAAATCCCTATTTAGCCTCTTTGCCTTCCTACTATTTGTGAACAAGTCCATTTCACTTAATTTGTGCCTCTGGCTTCAATTTCATTATTACTCACAAAATTACCGCCACAGCAATGTGGTAAAAGTAGGTATATTTAATGAGAGTTGATTATTTGTATATATATTACAGGTAGGTAACATTATTTTCATGCATAATAATTTTTTTTATCTAGAACTACCGAGTTAATCATCCATTGCTAACTCGATTTTCAATAGTTAATGAGATACATTGCTGTTGTTAATTCAGTAATGATATAAGCCATGTTTTGTATATACGTCCATGATATATGCAGTACGAATGAGTAATGTGATATCCCATAGTCTTGACAAATTTAATAGAATTCGTTATCTATAAAAGCACACCACAATAGTACTGTTTGTGGTTGCGGAATACTCGCAAATTCGAAAGACTATCAACTTATTTTCAAGCGCCTTTCAATACACAGAAGAATGAGAATGTAGTTTTTTTACGGGTACCTACCATATACGTATTAATAATCAATACGGATAATCTCTATCTGTTTCCATAGCGAAACATGAAGCCGATTTTTGAAGACAAATGACTATCCATAAGGAAAAGTTTTGAAACGATCAGACACATACTGCTTTGATTGAAAGGCTAGTAAACGTCATTGTCCACCGAAACGCATGTCTTTGATGACTACTATAATAGCGCATGGCGCATGCGTATCATGCCACCAAATCCTTATGGATATTCATTTGTTTCATATTTTTGGCTTCATCCTGATGGCACCCGTTATGATCCGTATTGTTTATTGATACGTATATGGTACCTACCATACTCCTACTATGTTCATTTGAAGAGCGTGTTTCAATCCAACTTTTGAAAACGTACGTTTTCATTAATTTAATTACCACGGCAACATGCGGCAACATCAACGATCCGAGAACCGTGAAGTCTAAAAACGTCAAATAAAATATCATTTCCAAATGTTCAACCATTTCACATTATTTTAGCTGTTATTTCCATATTTGAGATCTCATGCAAAGTGTACCAATGAAAAAAAAAATATTTTGGATAACTGGTTTTTCAAACACAATCGATGCTCTATTTCGAAAAAATCTCTCGTGTTTGAAAGACCTTAAATATCCATTAAATACTTTAATATACTATTTTCATTCTCTTAATCGTGCGTGACCGTGAAAAAAAAACATTCTGCAGAACGCAATAAGCATTTGTTTTACACACACATACATACGGGCGATTTGAATTCGCGATAAAAAATAAGCGTACGTCATATCCGAGTTCTTGAAAGCTGTCAAAGCGGCCTGTTTACATTATTTTCATTGGTTCACATTTGTTTTTTGTTTAAGCTTATTGGTCCACACATCAAAACAAACCGCTCAGAAGTGTTCAAGTTGTTGTCGTCAGGTGGGGCGATGTGTTATTTTCCATCGCGAATAGTGCAAGTGACATTTTCACAATTGAAATTATAGAAATAAATTATAAGTTCACTACACTGTTCATTTTACCACTAACCAAACCGATTTTTCAAAGTCCTCGACACGTGTTTCGCTATCTATGTTAGCATCTTCAGGAGAAGATTAAAACAGTCTCAGATGTTTTTGTGTTCGCTGGCATATTTCTCAAAAGTGTTTGAAGACATCAAGATATCATCATATTAGATTTATCAATAAACGTTCCGATATAAATAACTATATCTGATTTTCGGCGATTTGTTTTTGAACATTCAAAGTTGCTATGAAATTTGATTAGGTGTAGATAAGAGATAAGTATTTATATAGTCTCGCATGATACCCATTACCCACTCAGATGATTACAGCACTCACCCATACTATTCGAATTGATCAATGATTATTGATTATAGAAAGTACAGTCATATGCAATGAATATAATATAGGTATGGGCGGTGATAACACCTCTAACCTCTAGTCACTTCTGCAATGAGAGCGCTAACACCATCCAACCGTGACATGTTCTTTGCATCTAAACAGTACAACAAGTATATTTCATCTTCTGAATAAATTGATCACACTAATTTCGTTCGTTTTTGTTATAAATAATTTTTGTGACCCGACTTGTGATTAGGTACTATGCAGGGTATTGATTTATTTTGGAATTTCGAAACTTATCTCTTTTAATCAGACATTTTTTTAATCTAAGTTTATCTTACTCAAAATAATGTCAATTATTTGTATGCACCGTCGAATATTAACTATCGAATGATATGCCATGTATATATATATGACATTATATAAGGACCCTCGAAAAGTGGCTGCCATGAAATTGCGCCAATTATGTGACTGAAAAAGAGTTGAGATTGCATTCTGTTGACAAGTAACAAAATGTCACTTATTAAACTTTCGTCACTAGAAACGAGAAACGATCGAAAGTCAACTATGAATTTCTCTCACTTGCAACGGAAATCATGTTTTCGCTGAAGGTATTCAGAATATTCTATTACAAAATGATTCTTTTCTGGAAAAAATGCAAACCATTTAATTTAAATATTGTTTCCATATAGTGTAATTCACAAACTTTCTGGCTCATACAGCATAGTAGTCTATAAGTAAGGAATGATGAATTATTAACATACTATTGAATAGAGATGGTCTTCAGAGTAATCGAAACTTCTCGATTTTATATTTCAATAAGTGTTGACCAGTTTAGTTTTTTTATGGCATCATATTCATATGAATGACTAGTTATTCCATTGAAAACAATAAGTTCCATATTTTCTTCAGCCAAAGAGAGCTTCAATGTTGAAAGAAGTGTTTTCAACGAGTGGCTATCGACGATAATTATGATTTTTTAAAACAGTGAATAAACTAATTCATAGACATAAACTCAAGTTAACTATTCAAAAGTTCTATGACTGTTCAAGTGGAAGGAAACAATTCGAGAATGATATCGAACTGTTCAATCACAGGTTTCAAAAAGGACCTGATAAGGTTTTCAGACACTTAGTCCAGGAACATATTGGAGCTGTATATATGCAAGAGCGAGAGTGGGCTTTTTTATATCTTGGAGCGCACCAAAGGAAATTCCTATAAATGTGCCATCAAGAACATCATGCGTAACAATACGTTGACGTAGGTGCACAAAAAAATGCAATGCTAGAAATTTAGTGTAAAAAGTGGAATATAGTAGCGAATACATTGAACATTAGTTCTTTCAATAAGTCTTGTCACCACTCAACATGTTCATCGCCTAAGGCTAAGGCAGTTTATCAGTCTGAATCAAAAATAAGTATAATTAATTAGGCAATCCAAAAGATGAAGTGAACATACTACTTGAAGAATACAATGAAACGAGAATATTGCCATTAGATTGAATAATACAAATAGAACAAAGCAAGTAATCTATAAGATAAAAAATAACCAAAAAAGTAATACCAAAATATTCGGCTGGTAAGAGAAACTCATAATTGCAGGACTAGAAATCGAAATCAATTTTATATACCACATGTTAGAACAAATATAGCAGTAAATAACGGATATACAGTGTGGAGACTTTAACTGGAATAAATTCGTTAGCGGGGACGTGAATATTTGTTTTAAATATTCCCGCGGCATACGTCAACGATTCAATTTATTTACCTACCTTTTGCAAGCAATATCGAGAATATATCCCTCCAGGGCTAGCTGAAACCACCCTCAACATGATTTTTTCGAATGTAATCCTATGGCTTGTGACCCCTCATTGAATGGAAGGAGGAATCCAGCGTACTAGTACAATTCCAGTTTTTCATACGTTTAAATGTTGAATAAAATTGAAATCTAATTTCGATTTTTTTTTCTCAGAGTATCAATCGCTCAAAATGTGTGTTGAACAATTATTGATGGCAATTTTTGCCACAACTGCTATCTGCTATTGTATTTGTATTGTTTTTAAAGAACCGCAAAAAGACATTTTGTTTTTTTTGTCGTATTCACAGTTCTAAACGAAGTTTTATTGCAAACTGGTGTAGATGCCCTAAATCACTGTCTCTGAAAGTGGAAATTTTGATGAAAATACGTTATAAATAATCAATCTTCGAAATTATATTTTGAATTTATGCGACCCCTTGACCCCTAAACGTACCGCAAACTGGATTATTAATTCTTTCAACCAGCTTTCCAATGAGGGGTCGCAAGCCATAGGGTTGCATTTGAAAAAACCATGATGGGGATGATTCCAACTCCCCCGAAGGGTTATATTCTCCATATTGCTCGCTATATAAATGTAATGTAATGTCATGTTTCGCGAATTTTCAGAAAAATCTTTCAGTTCCTTAAAGAACATTTTATTATACATTTTCTTTAGATATAGATATTTGATAATATATGTTATATGTATGATATACAGGGTTTCCCAAAAGAACCGGAACGGTCGAATATTTCAGCAACGACTTGACATAAGAATATGAAATTTGGTATACGGGGGTTATCAGTAGTGACGGATCTGAAAATAATATTTGCAACGTTGCCAGATTCACAGTTTTTTCTATGGAGCCCTCAACTTTATTTTTTCAAATGTAATGCTATATATATTTTTGGCGCATTCGATTTGTCGTGTTTCAATTACTATGACCCCATAATATCAAATTTTAATTTCCCTAATTTTTGTTAATATGGAAATTCAACATTTCGTTGAAAAATATCACCAGATTTCAATATCTCGAGAAATCGTAGCATTTGATCTTCCTTTTCAAATTTTAGTTGATATGAAGTTAGGTACATTTTTTCAACTAAATACTGAAACAAACCAAACCCTATTTATTATATGTTTGAATATTGAATCGAATTTTAGTTCTGAAAATTCGTACGTTATGTACTTTCTTAACCGATAATGACAGAACTTCAATAAATATTGTTAGAATCAAGATGTATAAAGTGTGGCCTTTGGAAATAGCTAATCAACTCTTATTATTATTGTTGTCAACCATCTGTTTATTATCAAGATAAAATGGTTTTCTTGTTAAGTGAAGAAGTTTAAATAAATACTTAGGAAGATTTCGTGAAAATATCATGTAAATTTGACAACGTTGTAAATGATATTTTTAGATGAGACTTGCCAACAAATTTCTAATAAATTAATTTTCATTGTCATAACGCTATACGATTTCTCGATATATTGAAATTTGGTGATATTTTTTAACGAAATGTTGAATTGCCATATTAACAAAAATTAGGCGAATTAAAACATGATATTATAGGGTCATAGTAATTTGAACATGGCAAATCGAATGCGCTGAAAATATATATATATAGCTATACATCTGAAAAAATGAAGTTGAGGGATCCATTGGAAAAACTGTAGATCTGGCAACGTTACAAATATCATTTTCAGATCCGGCACTACTGATAACCCTCGTATACCAAACTTCATATTTTTATGTCAAGTCGTTGCTGAAATATTCGAGCGTTCCAGTTATTTTGGGAAACCCTGTATATTTGTACCAGGAAAGTGTTTTGAAAAAAAAAAGAATCAGAAATTTTATGAAATTGTTTGTATTGATTGTGGAAAAATATTTATAAGCCAACTAGGCGACCCATCTGATGATTTGATGAATCTGAAAAATTATGGGTGCTCCTCATTGTCCCTGAACATAATCTCTTATTAGGAGCAGAATAATAATTCATGGCACTGAAAAAAATGTGTACCTACACAAACTATCCAGAAACTATTTTTTTGAACAAGTAAACAAGACTACAGGATGAGCAATTGCTGAGGTCTGTAGTATTTTCCAGACTTCATAAGTAAATTGGGAAGTAAAATGCAATTTATTGAATTGCAATTATTGTTGAAGTTTTTGAAAGTTTGTTCTTTGATTTTGATAATCACACAAAAGGATTATTATGCAGATTGTTCTAATACCTATTCAATTTCTCTGATTTTTCTGAGATTTGTAGGAGAATCATTACCCTAGTCCCTAGTGATTCCTTGAAAAAGACAATACCCAAGCATTTATTAGAATTTGAATCCCATCATCAAAATAAAAACTTTATATATTCCTTCATTCAAATTCCAGAAATACAGGGAGTAAAAAAATAAAAATTCACTTTGGTTATCAGGTAGGTGCAAAAGTTGAATAACAGGTTTTTCCATTTCATTTATGTATCAAGAACTTGAGTTCAAGAAGTTCAAGTGATATATAACAATCATTTATTGGAAGGTACTGGGTATTTATGACTGCTAATATTGGTAATAGAGAAATCATTTATTTCACAGCATTATTATTTTTAATAAATATATATCCTTAAATATCATATGGGTGAACATATATAAACAATTATAAATAATAACCTACTAACTCATGAAATATGAGTAATCATAATTCCATTATCCTGGTTAACAAAGGAAAAACTGAGGAATCATTCATAGTTACTCACACATGCAGCAATTTGTCTGACTATAGTGTTGGATAGGTATAATGAATAACAACTAAGATGTCTCTTTGGTTTTGGCCTCACTGTCAGCCTTGATTTGGGCATGCCATTCTTTATTCTGCTTTGCAACTGATTCTCCTCTTTTGGCATCTTGTTTGCCTTTGTACACCATGACAACACACCCAGCTATTGTGGCCAATATCATATAGTTTGCTACTTTTATTCTCATGCGATTCCTTGATTTTTCCATAATGACTTGGCTGACAAAGTCAGGTACTTCACCATAACTCTTGAATTTTCCTGTCCACACAAGAAATCTTCTCTCTAAATTGTTCACTTTATGCATGTTTTCCAGTCTGCTATGATCATTGTGGTCGAATCTCGGAAAGTTCATCAAACCAGTGCTTGATGATAATACATTATTTTTCCTAGTCAAGCTGTTTAAATAATTCATCTGAAAAAATGCAGATAGCTACTTTTGGAAGTTGCAAATGATGTATTTTGATCATACTTACATCAAATTGGTTGCAAAGTTGCTCTTCTCAAATAGATAATTCGTAAACTTTCATCAAAAAATGAAAACAATTTAAAAATAAATTGTAAAAATGTCAACTCAAGGTCAAGTGTCAAGCATAATATATCATCATCAACAAGCCCTTCCGCTTCTAGACTTCTAGTCACGGGGCTTCGTGGGTTGGGTCCACTTGTGGGTTTGTGAGAAGTGCCTAAATCTTTCGAACCATTCCCAGCACGTGATATGTTGAGATTTGTGTTTTTCGATGAATATCAGAAAGTTTCGGGCGTGTTCTTCATTCCATCGAAGAAAGTGCGCACTGATAGATGCGGTTTTTTGTCGTGACGTCACCAATTGTTCTGTTGGAATTTATGCTGGAAGGATTGAACAATGGTTTATACAACACATTGATGGAAACACGGATTTTGTTGTGTGTCAGTCATAAAAACAACACTAAAATGTGTCAACTGTCATGTCAATCTCCTCCAAACTGCTGGATTCTCGAAATGCGATTTAAAAGTGCGCATTTTATTACAACAGTTTGATGGATGTCCATCAACATTCCAGCGGAATTTTGCAACAGTTTGATGGTTTCTTCGATTCATGCGCATGATAAAATGTTGGAATTAAAAACGCACCCTTCCACTAATAGCATGACGTCAGCCCACTGTTATCATTTGTGTAGTGATTTAGGCTGTCAAGTCAAAGATGTTTTTCGTGCGAGGCCCAGAGGCTGTCGCGCACTTGTCGCGCATGCGGCCATATTGTATCACGTGATTCACAGTGACCAATCTGACTATGAGGTTTGGGAATGGTTCGAAATTTTTAGGCTCTCGTTTTCCGTGTCAATAGTGTCAATCAGGGCCAGAGGTCGTCAGGAAAGTTCAAACAACCATGACTTTCGGCACAGTAGAGTGCTGACAGATCGAGTAGTCGCACTTACTATTGTGAGGCGTTTTGTTTACTTCACAACCACAGGGTTGGTAGAATTCATGATAATTTAGAGACGAAGGTTGCGGAAGGTTGCCGCGATCAGCAATACGCGGTGAGGGGGAGTGGTAATTTGTGACGTAATTTAATTGAAAATTCCATTCCGGAGTCATGGGTATCTAAATTCTATAACGATATTTTGATATACATAGAGCTTTCCAGGTTTGATCTATAATATAATACATACATTTATATGATCCCAACATAAAATTTTGGATTCGATTACGTCACGAATTACTACTTCCCCTCACCGCGTTCTCTGATCAAGGCAGCCGGTAACCTTCCCCTACAAAAATCATCAGTTCTACCAACCTTGCACAACCATAATTTCATGCCACGCGCAGACATGAAATATAATTCATGAAAGTATCAATGAACTGAATGTAAACAACGTTCATTGGAAAGTATACGGGGATTGTTGTTTATGCTCCAAAAACAAACTAATAAGATGGTTTCTAGGCATCTTGGGCGGTAACTTCAAAACACTGATATTGACGGTAAATTCGAAAAAAGAATGTTTTCACATCATAGTAGATAATAGCCATCGCAATATTCCCAATTGGTGCGGAATCAAGTCTACTGAAAAACAAACATCATTGATATAGCGATAATCACTATATTGGCCTCAACTCTAATTGCCTCCACAGTACTATTTTCGGAGAAGTAGAAAAATATCAGGAAGGATACAACTTTTTTTTCAATTCTAACCTTGATTGGCCTAAATGAACAATTTTCCTGAAAAGTATATTTTTTGGAAAATCACTTGCGAAAACAAAATAAAAAATGAAACCTACCGTCGAAGAAATGGAACTCGGGTCGCCAGCGTGGAATTCGAACGCACTATCAAATGCGCCACGCAGATACTTGAGACCTTTTGAATGAAGAATTTATTTATAGTGTATGATGCATTGATTTTCATCATACAGAGAGAAATTCTGGATTAAGAAAGCACAATCACGATTCTAAGAAAGAATTTAGTTTGACATAATATATCCACTCTATTCGACACGAGCAGTTGTCCGCAGTTCTCCGCAGTGGAAGTCAGATACACAAACCACTGAGCTATCGCGCTACTGGAAAGTTCTAACTATGAAAAAAGAAGAAATATTGGATTATTTATCAGTTTTATCACAACTTAATCACAACCAAGAATCACAACAAGCAGCACAGCCGCATGCTACTTATTGCATTACTTGCGAAGAAATTAATGGATCATGGTATTTGACTGTGGTATTTGTATTTGTCACATGTCATTGTCACTCTTAATGACACTGACACCGTGAGACCTAAAAAAGGGAAAAAACCCTTTATGGCCTTTATACGTTTTTTGATTTTAGAATTTTAGATTTTTTTGTTTATTAGGCAGGAACTCAGGATTTAAGTGGTAGAAAGTGGTGAATCGTTTTTTGAAGTAATAATATTCTGTTCATTCCCAAGATTTCAAAATTTATTGGCTATACTTATTCAATACTTTCTTACCTTTTCAGCATAGGTTCATAATATTATGGGGAAGTAGGTATCCTTTTTAAAAGTATATTATGTATATAATATAATTACTTGAATATTACTAAAATCAACAATGAGATTTTATGTTTCCACTATAATGGGATAAAGCCTTTAGATGAGTATACATTATGTGATAATTGATCTCTTATGAGGCCTTCCACTGGAGCTATATTTTCTTAATCCTTTGCTAGACATGCTGAATGGAGGAAACTTGCGAAAAAAACAAGAAGGAAACGTATAAGACAAAAATTTGCTAGGCTCAGAGATGAGGAAAAAGCTGAAGGTAATTATTCCAATTTGCTATGGAAGTTGTATTATAATTTCTCAATAAATTATAAGTCAAAATCTGCAAGAATTCTTTGACAGGCATAATATTCTTATGCATAAATTCATCAATGATCAGACCATGTTTATGTATCCATAGGTATTCCATTTTTCATCTCCAAAGGTATATTTTTCATTTCTATTTTTTAGAATGCATTAGAATTGCTAATTCACCTACTCACCAATGTTACTTAGCAGAACAAGCAATCAGGGAAGAAATCCTAGCAGAAGAAAATGCTAAAAAATCCAAGGACAGGGAACTCGAATGGTTGAGAGTAGAAGTGGAAGCCCAAAGGCAATTCCAAGAATTGCAGAAGAAGTTGGCTCAAGCAAGAGAAGAAAGGACTAAACAGAATGAGCAAATAAAAGCAGAGTGGGAGAAAGAACAACTGAGGCAGAAAGAGGCAAGGGAAAAAGAAGAACAAGAACATGAAGAACAGTTGAGACAACAGGAATTATTGAATCAGAAAGTTGAAGACTTCCTTGAATTAGGAGGGGATACACCAGAACATTTGAAAACTATTTTGGAGACTAACCCCAACAGAACAATTTGTCCTTTTTTCCAGAAAACATCAACTTGTAGATTCTTTGATGTTTGCTCTAGAAATCACATACGTCCTGGTATTAGTAGAATCATTCTAATTCCAAACTTCTTCTCTCACTACAGTTTAGAGAAAGGAGAGGAACATGGCAGTGATTCTGGTCTTGAGTTTGAAAGTCATGAGACATACAAACAATTTCGGGAATTCTTCAATGATGTTGTTCCAGAACTAGAACAATATGGCAAAATTAAATTCTTTTTCACTTGTTGCAATCATGAGACACATTTGAGAGGCAATGTTTTCATTGAATTTGCATATACCAGAGCTGCTCTAAAATGCTACAGGGGCCTTAATGGGAGATGGTATGGTGGGAAGCAACTCAGTGTGCAGTTTGCAAGGGTGAATAATTGGAAGTCTGCAATTTGTGGTAAGGGTGAACCTTCTTTTTGTTATATAGAATATTTGACAAAATCTCTGTTTCAAAATAATTGCATGAAGGGAACCTCATGCATAGTCCTCTTAACTCATTTTATCTTAGGACTCTTCAACTCCCAACGATGCCCTAAAGGAAATAGCTGTAATTTTCTGCATGTATTCAGGAATCCCAAAAACTCTTATGGTTATGAAGAACAAAGGCATTGGAACAGTGATCATGGAAAGAGGTATTTATCTTTTGAAAATCATGAATACATCTTGCATCTTTTCACTCAAGTTCCACTTGAAAATTCTTGAAAAATCATTGATACAGTATAGTTTGATGAGTGATAACTATTTTCCAGCAAAATTCATTCAACTTCATGTAATTTATTTTTCAGCAAAGTTCATTCAACTTCACATAGCTGGAGATGGTCAGAGTCTCCTAACCAAACATCACTTCAAAAGTCTGAATGGGAAAGTGATGAAGAAAGTAATTATAAGTTGAAATATAATCACAGATCACACAGAAGGCGAAGTAGATCAAGAGATATAGGAAATGGGTTGTCTAAAAGATCAGTTTCTCCTACACACAAAACCAGTAAGAGTTCCAGATCTAGGAAGTCAGAAAGGAAGAAAAGAAGCCACCCAAAAAGCTCCCACTAGCCCTAATAGACAATATAGTTTTATGGAATAAATAATATTCAAATCAAAATTTTGTTGAATTATTTATTGTAATCTCCTTATCTGTTAATTTTATTACCTAGGTACCTAGCTACTCATTTTGGAAGATAATATGAATTTCACAATAATATATTGTCACTCTCAGTACTCCCTGAGCAAACCAGTATAAGTGGCCCAAAGACTTCTATACGGTGGCTTATGTTATTATATCTCTCGAGGCTTTTCCATTTAGATCAACAACAACAATGATTGTAGAATTGTTTGATGTGGCCGGTGTGGCCACCGACTTATAACTCTATCTACATTGCTAGTAGCCATATCGACAAGCGTCTAGCCTAGCTAGACCGGCGAGTCTTCAAACATCGAGCTCAAGTGACGTCACTCACAACACATGATATTTCTTCCTACTTCATAATGTATATTGACAAACTAGGACTACTACACTACGCGTATTGAGCGATGTGTCACTGTATTACTTAGATGAGAGTTCGGCCACAGCTGAACTTTTGCCCTTTACGGTTTGAGCGTTGATTGATATATTACGCTTAAATCAACGGTTTGAGTGAATAAAAGAATAAGACATATTCTGCTCTTTGTCTTTTCAATTTCCTTAGTAGCGCCTAGAGCATAGACAAACCAAAAATTTCTATTAATTTCTCTATGGCCTAGAGTATATACAGGGACTCTAGTAGCGCCCACGCGCCTGATTGTCAGATACGAATTCAGAGGATTGTTACATTTTTCGCAGAACAATATCGATAAAAATGAAAAGAATTCATGGAACAACATTTCAATATGACAAAATAGACACATATGGATATACCTGAAGCTATATTATTTGTATGTTAAACTGTACCCGAGTGATAGTTTAAAACATGAAGATTGTTTTGATTTTTCACCTTTTTGCTGCATTCACTTTCCACAGATGAATTTTGAAACCGCCATTATATCACGTTGCAATTCATTCATTTCCTCAGTTTCGTTCTCAAATTTTCAATTTCATTACGCAGTTCTGCAATCAATTCCTCTTTCTCAATAATGATAATTTTGTTTTTCATTTCATGTGATGATAAAATTGGATTTTTTTTTAATACGTACCTATATAGCGAATTCCATTCGTAAACCTGGTGGAGCACTGGTTTTGTGCCAGTTTTGCACCCGCACTACTTTAGTTCTCTCCAAAATGTGAACTGGTGCATTCCCAATGGAATACGAAATATTATTATAATAAAATTATTGTTGGAGGTTAAATCGGTTGGTTTGTCCTTGTTTTTAACTTGTCCGCATCCTGTAATTATTTCTTAACTTCAATTAAAAAAAAAAAGTAGATGTTTCATGGAAAAAATTTTGAGCAATTTATTTTTCAATAAGTACCTATTCATCATTGAATTCGCAAAATACTTTCAACAGAATTATGAATTCTGGGAAGTAATCTCCAATATTTTCTTGAAACCTCCAACTTTTCATCACTATTTGATGATGATGATTGGATCGTCACTAACAATTTGGTTTTCAAACTATTCATATTCAAGGTTTCCGCCATTTTCAAACTGCACTGACTTCGCACGACATATTAGAGCTCATGCGAGAATTGTTGCACTGAGCTCTGAACCAGTTTTCCAATGGAATTCAAAACCCGACACGAGTTTTACCAATGGAATACAAAATATGCACTCAGTGCGAGCCAGTTTTACCAATGGAATTCGCTATTAGTCTGCTTTGTAAATTGAAATGGAACAGCAGATTCTCTCAAACGGATCTTGAAATCTTCTGTTTGGAAATGGGCCTACAATATAGTAGTAATCTGCTGTTATTAGAAGTGAATTTTAAAGTATGTACCTACCTCACAAATTTTGCTTGTTTTCAAATTAATTTTCCATCCAGGCCGTTTCATACATTCGTTAGACGACTTCTTTCATCAGAACCCGTTTGAAATGATCGTTTTTCTGAAAAGAATATTTTTCACTAAAAAGAATATTTTTCGAAGAATTACTTTTGAAGAAAAGACGCCTCGCAGGGATTTGAACGCGAGCCATCGCCTTGGAAGTCAGATACACACACGATACACAGACCACTGAGCTATAGGTCGCGTGCACGAAGACCGACCCTGGAGGCAAAATATTGAAACACAACCTCACTTTTTCATTTGGTTACAGAGGAATCAAAAGGTTGAAATAGTTTTTCACAATATTTTGGCATACGAATCGTGTTTCTTGCGTTATTCATTAATTCAAGCATGCCTTCGCATTGTGCTGTTGTACAATGCACAAAAAATGCAGCAAGAGACTAGGGAATATGATTTTTCAGGTAAATAGTAATCTCACATAGTTAGCATTATGAAATGTCATGCCTTATTAAAATTCCTTCTGCCTTCTGCCACTTCTGCAATACAAGCTAATGCTGCTAATAGATTGAAAATGTCTACAACACACACGATCGTCAGCATGTCAGACCAGTCCTACCGATTGATTGCATGAATCCAATCTTCTTGCATTATTCTAGAAATTTCAGGTATATTTCTATTAGCTGATCCTATTGCAGAAGGAATTCCGATGAGAAATCAGAGAAATAACCAAATTTCAAAAATGAAAACTATGTGAGTGACTATAGTAGGTACTTACTTTTGAATCATAATGTACCATCCGGATTTCTTCATCTTCCGCTGCAGTTTTTGTGCATTTTACAACAGCACAATGTGATGGCATGAGCGAATTGATGAATAGCGGAAAAATACGATTCATATGCCAAAATAATTGTGGAAAACTATTTCGATCACTTGTAAACAAATATGTTTTGCCTCCAGGGTCGGTCATCTGACAGTTCTTGCACGCGACCTATTGCACTACACGAAAGTTCTAACCACTTCTGAATATGAAGTAGAAATACCGAGTGTGCTTGTTTATCACAAACAGCGCAGCAGCATGCTACTAATCCAATTACTTGCAACTTAATCACGTTTCGTTACGCACTCAAAAATCTTGTGAAATCGATCGCATGTCAGTGTCAATCAAGGGTGTCAAACCTTTGTGTCAATTGTCCATGTCACTAGTGTCACTGTCAACTTTACATTTGCCTTCAGCTTCAGCATAACATAAAGCAAGAAACATTTTATGAGCTTAGGAAAATATTAGAAAATAGAATTAAAATAAGTTTAAAAACTTGATTTGAGCGCAAAATGCCTGCAACTTTTATCCACAGAAGTATTTTAACCGTTGGATTTTTGTCGCTTTTTCATGCAGCATATTCAGCAGCCCAGCGTAGGTATTTTCTATATTTAATAACATATAGCCTAGCCTGTGAAACAAAATATTAATCTTTCTATTTCAGATCGGTCATACCTTCGACTAAATGATTTAGATTTCACACATTTACCACTAGACGTATGTTACTATCTAGTTTAATTATAGTCCATAATACCATCAATTTATAATTTCAGATTTTTATTCAAACACTGATCAGCTTATTCATTATAATGTATGGAGTGTTACAAGTGGCAGGTGACTTCAAAGAAATCAAAGCTTCTGCAGATTTGGAAGATAGAACCTGGGAAACTTATAGAAATATCCCTTCATTTTATACTTTTTCCCATAGGGGAGGAAAGTGCTCCCAATTGGCATCTAAATCGGGTTTAGAGGAAATAGAGTAAAGTCAATCAATTTTTGTTAAATGACCAACTAGTCTCAGATTTATTGTGAATAAGGGTTCAAAATAGGTATAGTTCTATAATACAAAGGAAATGGAAGTTAATTGTAGTCTATTTATTGAAGTTTTGAAGTATATCTGTGCACAGATTAGTTAAAGTACCTACCTATTGTAAAAATAAATAAATAAAACAATGTGTGCAGTATCACAAATCTTTAAATATGTGCAACCAAATAAATGGAGAATATGGATACCTAGTTTAGTTTAGGAATCAGTACAGTTGTTTCAATTGTTCATAGGTCAAGAAAAAAATTATATTCCATGGACCCATTCTAAATAATGTTGGAATAAATCCTTTGTAAAATGCCCAAAAACCTTCGTTTTTGTAAGTCTGGATGAAGCAATCTATGGTTCCTGTGTATATGTGAGATGGTATTTGATTCCCACAATTTTTCAATCTCCTTTGGTTCATCAAACGAGTCTGAAAACATTACTTTCAATTTTCCAGTAATTTGAGAATAGGAGAGAAAATAAATAGAAAATGAAAATCCATTATGCTGCTGATTTAATAGGTACCTATGTAAAAAGTACTTACTCTTATAACATCAATAGGTGTTGATCCTACAGCAGTTCCAAAACTGGCCACTAGACTAGAACTACAATGAAAATGATGAAGTCAATTACATGAATAATGTTTGGATTACAATAATGTAATTGAACAATTGCTGATCAATAATTGAATGATTTAAATTTCAATAAAAAATCAAATTGGGCCAGTTTTTCAACAGTTGGTGGTTTTGTGTCATTTTATAATTTATTCTTTCAGCACAATGATTAGCAAAACTTTGATAATTATTAAAAAATTTATCTAATTTTCTTGGCTTCTACTGGTTCAGTCTAGGTTCAGTCATCCACTGATTACACAACATTAATAAACCACATCAGAAGAACATACAGTACACAACACAAAAATATGATGGGAAATGGTTTCAAAATCTCAACAGCTTTAGTTATAATATTTCCTACATTCAATAAAACAACCAAGCTATTTGGCTAAATGAAATAATAAACAATCTTACTTACATAAAATGATTAGAAACTTTATCACCAAGTATATTCATCAAATTACTCTTGCAGAAATCATACACTGGCAATTCTATAGCAGCTATCACAGCAGCTCTTTGGGCAGTAGGGTTAACACCCTGAAAGAAGACTTATTTTTGTAAATCTTCAATTCAATTTTTCTATTTCCTAATGTGCATCATAATATTCAGAATTTCTGTTGTCATTGGTACCTAATTAGATAAGGTATTGATTTATTCAGTTTACTCACCTTCCACAACCCTGAGATTCCTTCATGAGTATAAAGGTCCTTGAGACAATCTACCAACCCAATGTTGCCATTGCCATTAATGCCAGCAACTTGCATTCGAACTTTCAGTACATCAGTAGGGTTGGCTATAGCACTTGAAACTGCTCCTGCTATAACAGCACAAATAACATTGAGTGAGACACTCTCTTTACCATCATTATGCTCAACAATGATGTTTTTAAGGGAGTAGTAAGTACCAAATTTTATGGTTCCATAAGTAGCCTGCCTCAACACTGCTGGCCAAATACTAGAAGAGATATTATTAAAATTTACTAATTTTAATAAGAATGACATTTCACATACCCAGAGTACAAAGTGGCAAATCCTTCTTGTTTTGCTACTTTCAAGAAACAATCTACCATTCCTTTATATTTAAGCTGTGCATGATTTTTGTCCAATTTCTGTCCTTGTATCTGCAATCTCGTTTTAGTGGTGTCAATAGGAAAGGTTCCTAAAATTTTTTTTTTTTTTTCGTTAGAAAGGTGTAATTATCTACAGATGTTTTCACAATTACCAAATTCTGAAACACAGGAAGCAACTCCACCATAGACAAAAGGCCGCCAATCTCTATCTCCCATTCCAGTTGAACTTTTTTATAACTTGTGGGCACTTTTTTACTTTCAATATTCCAAAAGAAACTATGTCTGATCCACAGCAACAAAATTCCTCGTACAGAAGAGTATCATGAGCGAAGACTTGATGAATAGTGTGATATTTTTAACGATAATTACTAATTAGAAAGATTTGGAAACACCGGTGCGATACCTGCTGAACCTATGATCGAATGATGACGTCGTCGAAGGAAAACAAACACAAAAATAAGGAATAACGATTAAGGGGTAAGCAACAGAGAATGAGGTGTGATGAGGTCCTCCACATAACTGTAGCCTAAAAATAAAAAACCGGGACTGGACGTCAGAATTAGCACTATCAGTATAATATCAGCATCACCAACAAAGATCACGCAATCAACACGTGCATGCTCGAATCTGATATTCTGATAATGATAAATAATTCAAAATTCAATACTTCAGATGAGATATTTCAGAAATAGGTCGCGTGCACGAAGACCGACCCTGGAGGCAAAATATTGAAACACAACCTCATTCTTCTGTGAATTATTGAAACACAACCTCATTCTTCTGTGAATTATTGAAACACAACCTCACTTTTTTATTTGGTTACAGAGGAATCAAAAGGTTGAAATAGTTTTTCACAATATTTTGGCATACGAATCGTGTTTCTTGCGTTATTCATTAATTCAAGCATGCCTTCGCATTGTGCTGTTGTACAATACACAAAAAATGGGGGAATATGATTTTCCAGGTAAATAGTAATCTCACATAGTTATTATTATGAGATGTTGTCATTCCTTATTAAAATTCCTTCTGCCTTCTGCCACTTCTGCAATACAAGCTAATGCTGCTAATAGATTGAAAATGTCTACAACACACACGATCGTCAGCATGTCTTCTTGCATTATTCTAGAAATTTCAGGTATATTTCTATTAGCTGATCCTATTGCAGAAGGAATTCCGATGAGAAATCAGAGAAATAACCAAATTTCAAAAATGAAAACTATGTGAGTGTCTATAGTAGTTACTTACTTTTGAATCATAATGTACCATCCGGATTTCTTCATCTTCCGCTGCAGTTTTTGTGCATTTTATAACAGCACAATGTGATGGCATTAGCAAATTGATGAATAGCGGAAAAAATACGATTCATATGCCAAAATAATTGTGGAAAACTATTTCCATCACTTATAAACAAATATGTTTTGCCTCCAGGGTCGGTCATCTGACAGTTCTTGCACGCGACCTATTTCCTGAATCTCAAGGTCGAGGTCGTTGAGGTACCGCCGAAATTTGCGACAGAATGTCAAGGTTGGTAGAACGTTGGGTAGAACTAAAAGAACGGTAACGGTAGAGCTTAGGTGATGAATATTTGTGAAGAAACATTGCGGTTGTTCACAAAACGTGGTGAGAAGAAACATGGGGGAAACACAGAACTCAGGTTTTATGTGTACTGTGTGTTCATTGACTGTCTGACTGTGAGGGAAGTAGTGGTTTGGGGTTCATAAAAATGTATGTATACAGGGTGATTCACGGTGGATGGCACATAAGACGTTTCTGGAGAACGCAACTCAGGATTATTCTGAAAAGTTGGATAAATAGTTGTGTTCTATCGACTCAAAATATTCTCAGCGTTGAGACGTTGCCGCTTATATTGAAAAGTAGCAACAACTTTATTTTTTCAATGGAACACCATGTATATTATTCCATGTTCAGATTCTCCCTGAAGAGCTGATTCCATCGATCTATCACACTTGGAGTCTAGCGGGAATGATAAAAAAGATAAGGTGTGAAAAATCGAAATTTTTCAACTTTAACAATTATTGTTTGTGTCGAAACTATTCATAATTGATCAGAACGGTTTTCATGTCCCTATATTACCTTTTCATGTACTTGCAATATCAATTGATATTTAATTGAAATAAATACAGGGTGGTTCAGAATTAGGATTTTTGACCATCCTGTTCTGTGGGTAACATATCTCTGGTATCGGTAGGTACCCAATGAAGATAATATGTTGAGTTTGATTTCTTTACCAAGAAGAGATATACGTCCTACATTCGAGCATCGAAAATATATGGGACCATGATGATAGTTACATCGAATATGAAGGAGAAATAATCAATTTGTTTTTCGAAATATTGCTCAACAAGAAAGTGAGCAATTACATGCTCCACAGGAAGTTGATGTGGCAAGCCGCTCATCAGAACGTACTCGAGCTGAATGGACAGAACAAAGTACCAAATATTTATTGTCACTATATAAATCAAATAAGGACCATTACAAAATGAAAAAGAAACTTTGGGCGAGAATTACTGAGGAAATGAATTTGAAGGTACACATATTCAAGTTGAGAACAGGTTCAAAACTTATTATAAAGTCTTCATCGTCAAATTCTTCTTCTTCTTCTGGATAACATTTTTTACACATATTCTTCTTTTGCTCAAATATTCACATATGCTGGTGACCAATAATTTCCTCTTTCTCACGACCAAATCCTCGTCCGAATTAGATTCAGATCAGATGTCTCATCCGAATCATCCAGAACTATTAAATTATGCGCCGCCATTTTATGTCAGAAAATATGCAACTTCGAAACCAAAACCACAAGATTTAACGGTTAACGAACGACGAACTCAGTTATTACACTTTCACACTCCCCTATACTACACTTTTTCCACTGTACACCGCACTACACTTTCTTCATTACACTGCACTTTTAGGAGGGTTTACGAACAGACCTAATAAATGATATTAATTATAACCACACTTTTCTGTGATGGAGACACAGAATCAATTCTGTGATGGAGATCAATTCTAGCTAGACGTACAGATCGAAATCGAAACTCCAGTCTGGACCAATGGTCTGGACTGGACCAATATTTAAGTGAGGAGATCGAGGTTTGACGAAAATAAAAACAAACAATAAAAACAAGAAATAAAAGTATAATCCAATAATAATCTCACAAGTATTATGGTGAACATTGATTCAATTCATTCATTCAATTGTTAGGCAATGAACTAACTGTTTCATTGATAGCTTTAGCTACATATTCAACATTTTGAGGTGTAAGTCCACACATGCTGATACGGCCTGATTTCAACATGTAGATGTGATGTTTCTTGACCATATGAAGTGACTGAACCTCTGAAAAATTTTAAAGAGAATAAACAATACCAAGCTTCTAACAGGCAAGGTTGGTAGAACTGATTATAATTTGTATAGGAAGGTTGCCTCGATCGATAGTGCGGCAAGGGGGGAAACGGTCACTCGTGACGTCACAGGCAGTAAGACGACAAGTTGTCAACTTTAAAGCGACATGTCATGAAATGTTTACCAAATAGAGTATACAAACATGATACAAACTTTTTGGTCTGCTCAGCATATTTATATTAATTTATAGTACATAATTATAAGTAAGTACCATTATAAAATATGGATATTTACATATACTTCTGTATAATACCTTCAATCTTCGAAATGAGAAGGCAATTTTGGATGGATCAGTAGTACAGAGAGGAACCTATCTGAAATTTTGTTCCAGGGGCTATTTACCAGGTCGTGGTACCAGGTATGTGTGTTTTGAGGTATGGAGCATAATTATGGAGCTAGTGATTACTTATGCATTGATTATGAACCTACTCATCCTACAAATATCCTGCAAATCAGATAATGTGAACAAGAAACTACAGAAAATATAAGAATAATCAACTGATGATCCAGAAGTAGTAGCAGTGGACCAATATTCGTACACAACAGATCACTTATTTTATCAATATAACTCTGTATTCTGAAAAATTAACAACTTTCCTAGATACCTATAGAAAATACAAGAGGAAATAGTATTTCATTGTTTGATTATATTGTAGTCAAAAACAGAGCAATTGATCAAAGTATTTGAGCATAAAAAAATAACAAAATATGATTCTGAACAAAATTAATGAAAAATAACACTACTATTATAAGTGAACCTATAATAAAGGATAGTTCAAGGAATCTCTCAAATAAAAATAGCTCCTCTTCGTTGGGTAACGTACTCTTGCTCAAATATCTCAACTTGAAAACACGTGTGATATCTTCTGATGTCCATTTTACCCGTTCAGCAAGAATCTCAACATTCACAACTGGTCTGGTTCTGATCATTTTTCCAAACTTCCATACTTATGGTGTTTCTCTTGTTGTATTTGGTATTATTGATTGGATTCCTACCTTGAGTTTTCTTCTCTTTGGTGTGTGATTTAGCTTTTCTGCTTGTGCCGTTCAAAATCCTCGGCATCGAAATGGGCAGAATATATTCGCCAAGTTTTGGTATTATTAAATTTCTCACGAATAGACTCATCTTGTGGAAATTAATGGAAACACAAACTAAATTCACTAGTCTTATTACACTTGTACGAATTTTAAGAAGAAGTGACCGAACAAATTATCATTTTTACATTTTTAAGTTCAAAATGGTTCAAATATTCGAAAATACTGACAACTGTCAACTCAATAATTGGCGCCGGCGTACATATCATACACGAAGTGTACGAAAGTGCTACATTTTTCGTGCAAAAGAAAGGGCCTATTACGTCATGAGTTACTCAAGGTTACTCGCGGGGTGCGATCGAGGCAACCTTCCTCTACAAAATAGTCATCAGTTCTACCAACCTTGCTAACAGGATGCTGTGAAATTAAACAGACAATGCTTCACAGGTGTAGAGCCCCGTAGAGCCCTTTCGATTTGATGAATAATTTGATAGGAAAATAAGGTCCCTGAGTGGCTAGGTTTAGAGATAAAGAGTGTTCAATAACTTGGCTGAATTTGTGCTTTTTTATGAGGCTACCATTTTCCATTTTCACTACAGAAACGTGAGGTCACTGTCAAAGTCAAAAATCCCAAAGTTCTGCCGGATCGCCCTAAATTCGGGATAGAAAATAACACGTCGCCCCACCTGACGGCGGCAACTTGAACACTTCTGAGCGGTTTGTTTTGGTGATATGACCAATAAGCACAAACAAAAAACAAATGTGAACCAATGAAAACAAAGTAAACATGCCGCATTGACAGCTTTCAAGAACTGCGATAGGTGGCGTACGCTTATTGACCTCACGTTTCAGTGCCACCTGTTTAGCCCTCATTAATCTGTGACGCGCCAGCATGGGGTTTTCATAACACATTTTTTATGCCATGAAACAAATATTAATTAATTTCAAAATAATAGGTGAACTTAATTGAAATTTCCAAAAAAAAAAACAACAGGGAATTTCACTAAAAAACAATCTTGATCTAACTGCATATGATAACTTTCTGGAAAACATTTACCTATAGTTTGAAGAAATAATATTCTGAATTTGAATGCAAAGCATTCAAACTAAATTGTAGAAAATAATGTAGTTATGTTGGTGGACGGACAGAATAGAAATTAAGTACCTAATAACACAATAAC